TATGACATCGGCCGTTTATACCCGCACATCTGTTACACATAATTTGAGGGGATCTAAAGGCATAGCCAACCACTCAGATAGACAAGCTTTAACACATAGTTGCCCTGCTTCAAGCCTCCAACGTCTTAGTATTGAAGGCCTTTTGCCAACGACAACCTCTCCTCAATGGCACGGACCATAGCCACATTCCAGCTGGTGGTACGACATTCACGATGGGAACTTTCATCGAAGAATGCAGGAGATTTCAGCTTACTCCTCGACTGTGCATCACGGAAATTATCGTCTTTGCCAATAGATCCTCAGTCAATTCATCGCTCCCGTTATCAATTTTCTTGTCGCCGTGATGGTAGGAGATTCAAGACTTGCAAGCCCGCCTCCGAGAGGGGAAACAATCCCCGCAATATTGAGATATTAATGAAACTATATCAAGTAGATCACTATCATCATACGGTTAATATTTCACTACCATGGTAATTCTGCGTCCCGCCAAGATCGGACATATACGAAGAATATGCCATGAGATACGCAGACTTGAGGGGCAAGAGAAGATACAGATTGGAAACAGCAACGGGAGACTCTCAAAGACCTTGATCCGGCGTCTTCGATATTATTCCTGCATTGGGATGCCACTATCAACAAAGATGGGACATGCTGTTGGCGACCAAACTTTTGAAATCAGCCTTTTCATCGATTCATTTATTCTTCAGTCTTGATACATCATCTAGTGGGGGTCAACTTGCTCATTCTCAACAATTGAGATTCTAGACTCACTTGATCCAAGGCTTTAAAACTATTTCCCCCTCATTTCTTTGTATTGAACCGATCATGCGATACTGCAAGTACTCAAATCCAATCTTGTAATCGCTATGTTACTCGTGAGTTCTTTAGCGATGCCGGTTCTCTTATGCAGCCACGGACGAATCTTCACTACAGATGCATCGGATGGGTTCAATTGATCGTATTCAAATGAGGGGGAAGCGCAGACTTGAAGACTTTGAATATTACCTCCTCAGCCCTTGGCTTTACTGAATTCGAGAGCATTCGCTTTGCTACAGCTGCAGAATCGTCTATATATACACCTCGAATCTCCGTGAGAGAGTAAGATCAAAGCTTCCATATCCATCATTTACTTACTTACTTACCAAAACTCATACTCATTACAATTCTCTCAATTTCACCACAATGTCTTCTCTTCTAACCACAGAGCTTGCTTGCACTTCTGCTCCTGATAAAGTCCTACACCTCTTCTTCCAGGAGGGCCAAAACATTCTTGAAGCGCGATCTCCAGATGGTGGCAGTGTTTGGACCACTCAAGACACTGTTATTTCCAAAGATGGAGATTACAGTGGTTCTTCGATGACATGTTATTATGTAGACAAAGACGCGAACTTTGATAACCAGCCCTCAGTATGTCTAGTTTCACTATGCTTATATTCATCTGCTGACACAAATTTCAGATTCATCTTCTCTACATTAACAAGGACAAGCAATTGATGGAGAAAGTGAAGCGCATGAAGGGAGATAATCCAATCTGGGAGGACGTCAAGATCCCAGATGAAGTCAAGAAAGGCCCAGAGCAATATTCGAGATTGGCCAGTGGAGCTTTCAATTCAAGCAGTGGTTGGAATCCAAATGGTTCGCAATGGGCCTACTTTTCAGCGTGAGTTGCAATTTATAGTTCTTGGTTTTAGAAATTCACTAAATTCAACCAAAGTACCAAGGATGGCAAGATGGGCCTGGTTGAAATTAGACGCAATCCAAAGGATCCATGGCACACTGAGACCATTTTACCTGAGCAATGGGGCGAGGAGCTCCCAGGTACCTCCTTAGATTGCACAATCTCAAGCGGAAAAATCAGGATGTTCTTCCAGCACCATGACTATAGCATCCGTTTGGTAGAGAACCAAGATAACAAGTGGCATGGTAAGTAGAGATGCTCACCTATCATTATGCTAATAGTTTAGAAGCTGACCTTTTTCTAGACCGAGGCGTCTACGTCGAGAAAGACAAGGTTCAAGCCACAACACCAATTGCTTGCACCATGACTAAAGACGGAAGCGTTCATCTTTTCTACGTCGCAAAAAACAACAAGATTGTTCACTGCACCGATGGAAAGAAAGAGGAAGAATTGGTCAATTTCTTCCCAGGCTCAAAGTTGGGCGCCACATCAGTTGACAACAAGATTACTTTGTTCTTCAGGAACTTGAACCCCGTCAATGAGGTTGGTACGTTGGAGAACGAGAATGGCTCATGGAAGAATGGCAGCACTGTCATTCGTGCATGATTAATAGTGGATAATTAGGAGGAGTTTCTTTCTTAGGTCAATTCACGGGACTCCCGCTTGGGGAGAAAAGTTGTCGGCTTTCTTTCAACTCAAAAGCACAATCAATCATTTCGGGATGATATTTATGAACAAATTCACACTCCTTGCAATTTGGTTCACGATCAATCAGCTATTAGTTACCTTTCCTTTCAATTCAGTCATTTGTCTGCCCGAAATATGGGTTTACTCACTGATCGTGACCGTGAGACCTTCATGTAATGATTCAATGAACAATTAAATCGCAGTAATCATATTTGCCTGTACTTCAACGAGATCTCTCTGCTCAATACTCATCTCATGGAATGAATTTCAGCTCATGTATTGTCACGTGACATAAAAGCAACCGAACTGAATGCAACTTTCACTATTCAAATTTAATCTTGACAACTAATAAATGATAACTTCTGTTTATCAAGCTAAAATACCAGCAGGTGTTGACTGGAAACTTGATTGACTGATGCATCATGTGCTAGCTTTGACGAAACCATCCATTTGCTTGTCAAATGCCATGTGACCTTTGCATTTAGCATTGTCAGATTTTAGTCTATTAATTCTCCTTGTATTATCTTCAGTTTCTACCAGGTAATTTTTTGACACTTGTGCTTTCAATGTGTTGAGAACCTTATTAATCAATTATTATTCAATTAGTCAATATATCTCAAAGTAATGTGATATTTTGTCATCTCATACCACCTTTAGAGGTTTGAACAACATTCGGATTCGTCAAAAGCATCTCTGACAAATACTTTGATGATTTCTTCCTTCTATCCATATCCAATTCTTGGCTTAGGCATTCACCAGAAGCATCAGACTCTTTCACAATGATTGATTGAATATAAAGATTCGAGGCAAGGATCGTACAGTTATAGTGATGCCTATGGGGGCTATGTTCGTTTTGTGGTTAGCAAGGCTAATTCCTTCACGTAAAATTCGGTTGATCAACAGTGATCTGACATACAAGCATTGTCAAACCCTGTCGAGTTGAATGTTTTCCATTCTTGATAATGGATTTATATCTATATGAATGAAGGTTCCCCAGTGAATCAGTGTTATTTGGTTCATGACCCCTCCATATTGATTAAATGATAATCGGCCACAACCTTATCTAAAATTCCTATTGCAAGAGTTCTTGCAAAACTACAACAGAGATCAAAGTGAAGCTGCAAAACTCTATAAGTTTTGTCATTTGGCATACTCGCAATGAGCGCTAAAACCCCATACGATGCTTCTGCTTCGTCAAAGACAATGAGCCAATCTTTCACTAGCTCATATCCCGAGAGCCAAGCGCCATCAAACTCAAATTCCTCGGGTGCGGCACAAAGATTTCAACAGCAGCCACAGCCCTCTTTCGTGATCGGCGGAATACCATACCTTTTTCCATCAATTTTTGGGGTTTACAGGGATGGCATAAGGAAACTTTGTCTCGCGGAACACCATGTCTCGACACCATTTATGTCTATTGCTGTTCATTCGGGTTTCTCTGGCGAGCCCTCGATTATTCTCTCCTCTCCCACAGCAGTGATGGGAACTGCAGAGCTCCACACTTTTTCCTCCAAGACTGAGCTTGTTATCGGCAACACCTCATCGACTTTACACTCTTCAGGCTTCATTTCACCGGTCTATGACTTCACCTATACATTTGATGATGGACGCCAGGAATCATTTCAGTGGAAAAGAAGCGCCGGCGCGGCAGTTGCAGGTCTAGGCGGCAGGAGTAGGGGGTACAAGCTTGTGAGGGTCTCTAACGGGGAGGTGTTAGCGGCTTGGACACATCCCGGTGGTCCAAGTATCGATAAGATGGCGAAAATTGGACTGTTGGATAGTATGAGAGCGCTTGGTTGGGGTGAAAGGTGGGAAGTAACGCTTGTGCTATCAGCCATAGCACTTATTGAAAAGGAGAGAAGGGCAAGGAATAACGCTGCTGCTGCGGCATAGGGAGGGTTTGAACTTCAGAGCGAAAGTCGGAGGGCCCGATATGATACCACTTGTTTTCGGCGAATTTAATGGGAGTTTACCTAGCTTGGATATAATTCGAATTTTGAACAGCATTTGATATGCACCATGAGATCTGATTGGAACGTTCACCACTATTGACTTGAATTTGTTACAACACTTTCTCTGATTTTCAAGACTCAATGACTCCAGTGAGCCATGCTGATAGATGAGGAATTACTTCATCTGTTGAACAAAAAGATTTATTTTTGGAGTTCCTCTAGAACGCAAGTAAATTCTTCGACTCATCGATTACTCCGAAGATAATAACCCTTGATTTATTTCTTTCTTTGTACCATGAGAAGTTTCCCGCTAATTTGTCGTGCCATGTGTGTACCAACAACCCTTTGTTCCCAGGAACGACAAAGCGACAACCTATTCGGAGTGTCCCCCGTGGCGAGGACAAGATTCTCAAGAAGAAACTTTCACATCACCGAATTCAATGGTCATAAAAGTCTTCTCCATCAGACTACCAATTTTCTGGCGGTCTAGAGAGAATAGATAAATTTGTAAATTTTCACCATGCCAGAACAAAGGAAGACATTGATAGCAAAGAACTAGCCTTTTTGCGGAACGCTAACTCTTCTTTCATCAATATGATGGCTCCCTCGTTCATCAACTATCCAAATCTTTCTTGTCACCACCAAGTTGGATCCAGAAAATCATCATTGCCTCAATTGCGAAAATGTCACACAGTACAGGCAGTCCAATTGTACGTCCGCAGGAGGATCACGAAGGCCTCCAAGTCGTTCCCGACGACGGTCTTCAAACCCCAGACCCAGAAGAATCCCCCACAACCAAAGATCTTAAATTTCAACCATATTCCGCAGGATCCGCCTATGGCGGCACCTTGAACGTTCGTGAACCTGATCACGACGTCCCGCCAGTCCCAGAATCACCTCCCCCAGCTTTTCATCTCATAAACGAATATAAGTTAGGTCATAACAATACATTACCTGTTGAAGATACGCCTCTGCCACAGACGATTAAAAAGAAACGAGTGTGCGGATTGAAGAAGAGAACATTCTGGTTGTTGATAATATTATTACTGATCGCAATCATCGCATTAGCCGTCGGTCTAGGTGTAGGACTTGGCGGGTCTGAATCATCAACCTCTTCTAGCTCCTCATCCGGGTCTACGACCGCCACAGGTACATCCTCTGCGGCACCATCTGCCTCTTCCCCCATTGGCCAAACATGCGTCAAAGGTACAGGACCAGGAAATTATCTCGGTCTCTGTGACTTCTCCTGCAACTTTGGCTATTGTCCCTTTCCCTGCTCCTGCGTCCAGTTTTCCTCAACCGCAGTCCCACCGCCCCCCATCTCAAACACACCTGGATTTCCACTACCGGGACTCAATGCGGATTATTCCGGCTTGTGTAGTTTTACGTGCAACCATGGTTATTGTCCCGACGGAGCTTGTACCACGGATGCTTCTGCCGCTGCAGGAAATTCTTCTTCGAGTGCTGTGTCAACGCCGAGTTCGACATCTTCAACACTGCCGACTTCGAGTCTGGCGCCGTTGACGTTGACGGCGCCGACAAGTACGGTGGTTGTTACTTTACAGGGCTCGCAGACTAGTACGGTAATTGTGGTGCCAACTTCGACTGGTTAGTCTTGTCATTGTGGTATAAGTGGTAAGATTAGGATGTTGTGTTTACGCCAGGACTTGACGATCTTAGCTATATACCGAAGGATGTATATCAGGATTTAAAAAGATCAGAAGGGGAAGAAAAGGCCGATATCTTATTCCGACAGATTTGTGTACTATATATTTCCTGTGTTCGCTTCCACTGTAAATATATTGAATGAGTTCTCAAGAGAAGAGCTTATCAAATTGGATATAGAATTGTTTAGAGCTAGAAAATTAATCAAAGACTTTATCTTTATCTGCAAGCGTGTCGAGATTCAATTACATGGGCGAAGTAGCTCTTTTAAAAGAATTTGGTCATTGTGTTTGAAAGTTGACATTTGTTGTTCTCGAATCTCTGTGATATCAAGGCCCAACTCATCAAACTCCAAACCTGATATTCTTGACCGAATATCAATGATTAGATGATATCACTCGGTACATCCCTAAATCTGCCACTATTGATCTGCTTCATGCTTCATGCAAAGGTACTAGATGGTCACGAAATGGAGGAATATATTTGTTATAATCGAAATATCTTTGTTAGGCTTCTTTGGAAAATGAGCTACTCCTCTAAATCAATTCACTACGAGTTTTCTAGAACTTACTCGAGAACTCTCAAAAGAGATTGCAGGAGAATTTATTCTTTCAATAAAACGAAATGAGAAGCAGAGATCATATGTCGTTTGATGATCATATACTTTGCAATGTAAAATTGGTTAATTTCTGTAGAGTAGTTGCGATACGACTTTTATACTGCTTTGATTCACTTTGACACTAGTGCTTTCTTCAGTTCCAACTACCCCTCTTAGAGACATGCAGGGTACCCCGTGTTATTATTCACTTGCTGCGATGCCGGAACAACCGTAGCTCATTTTGATTATTTAAGCTCCCACCCACTTTCGGTACTTGCGAGATCCCTCTTCCTCGAACAGAGCTTCCTGTTAACCGCAAGTTGATAGCAAAACTGCAAAACTGCAAAACTGCAAAACTCGAACACAACAAACTTCGAATACCCTCTCATCAATCAAACCCACCTCAATCATGTCTGGAAAGGGTACTTCTAGCTCCAGTGGCTCTGGTAACTCTCTCGGTAGCCCGTATACTGTCAATAGCAGTGGTACCAACAGTCAAGTAAGTTCTCCACCGCTCAAATCTCTTCCTTTCACACTCAAACTATCCTTCGATCTTTGAACTAGAGACTAATTCTCTAAATTTTCAGGGCAACAGCTATGACAACCGCTCCACTCCCTCTGGTGAGGCTTATCACTACAGCAATAGTAGTATGTTGCCTTTCCTCACTCTACCCATCAGACCCTAGGTTCTCCTCCACATAATAGTTGTATGCTGACACCTCGTGCGAAAGATGGTTCTTACTACTATGCTAATGGCAATGGCTCCACCTACTACAACGGCAGCAGCGGATCCACCTACACTGCTCCCGATGGCACTTCGTACAAGAAGTGAGCTAGAAGCTCTTGCTCCCAGCTACTCCGTAGGCATTTTCGCGATGGGTTCTAGTTTGTGCAGACTAGTTCTGGGTAGATAACTGGTGGGATTTTGGAAGGGTAGAATGGGTCATCAGAATCTATATCTCGATTTCTTTTGGGATATGACCGTTTAGCTCTGCAAAGGAATCGATCTGACTTCGATTCGGAGAATTATGCGTTTGTTTGTCGTGTGCATGGTGTGATGTGAAGTTATTTAGACTGCAATTGCTTTGTTCTTTGATTTCCTCACTACCAAATCCAAGCTTACACTTAACAGTGATTTGGATAAGAACTGCGCAGTACTTGTCTTGCCGCAACTTTTTTCTCTTCTGTCAACGAGCAGGATCCAAATTCTAATGGGATCACACTTACAGATGTCGAGACAAGAAGTGATATGTTTGACCAAGGGTTATGACGAGTACTGGTAGGAGGGTGCTCGTGGTTAGCGGCTAGCAAAGCCACAAAGATTCAGAACCCCATCACGCCTGGCCAATAGACACAAAGGGAGAACAGAATCCAAAACTTAAAACGTGAGCATGAGATAGAATCTTTGCAAATGTTTCGCTTCACATCGTAGTTTGTAGGCTTAACCACACTATCGGTTTCATCTTCTCGGTGCTCGGTTATTACGCGCTACTCTTTATGAGCATACTATTCATGTAATGACCCCCTTGCCACTCGCTTAAGCTAGCTCCCTACTCTTTATTCCCTGCAGATTCTCTATTCTTCTATTTGTGGATTACCACTGTGTCGATTCCAACACTGCACACTATCTTGAGCATCGGTTGCATGATGACATTTTGTCATCTTGTGTCTTCTTAATGATAGTCGTTATGCTCTGTACATGTAATCTCCATCTCTCTGTACGGTGGAATGATCTAAAACAAGACGAGGATCGCAAACCATATAGAAAATCAGGATATCAGTTACCTATCCCAACAAAAGCACATCTCCAAAACAAAGTTCAATGACCGTGAAAATTAATGGTATCATTTTATAGCTCAAAAGAAAATATTTACATCTACTAACTAGAACCTCCGAACAGTCCTTTACTTTACTTCACGATCTTGGACTTCTTTTTGACCTTCTCGACCAAACTACCAAGATCCGCCTTATCCTCTTTCTCCCCCTCAACCTTCCTCTTCTTATTCTTCGTCTTCACTTCGACCTCTCCGTCATCTTCCCCGCCTCTCTTCCTCCTTCCCTCTTCCAACAATTTCTTCATACCTTCCGTACCCTTAAACTTTGGATTGCTGGGATCAATAGCATACTCATGGTTCTTGAACACGTCACCGAATCTCTCATCACCAACATCCATCTGGAAATTTTCCTGTAAGCCTCCTCTCTTACTCTCAATTTCTTCACCCTTCTTTCCCTTTCCTTTACCCTTCTTCTTTTTCGCCTTCTCGGCGCGTTGAATCTCAGCGATATCGAAATGGTCCAGATGTTCTGCCTTATCCGTCGAATTGTCCTGCATAAGCAATTCCAACTCTGCACGATTCGAGGCCTTTTCTTCCGCTTCCTTAAGTTTGGCATCGTGTTTCTTCTTGCGTTCTTCTTTGCGTAGTGATTTTGCTGCTTTGGATTTAGTAGCTTCATCTGTTGCGAAGAAAGGATCATCGAATCCGAGATCTTCTTTGGCTTCGACTTCTTTCTCTTCATCGTCAGAAGCATTTGGATCTTTGCCTTCACGAACGGCCTTTGCCTTTTCTCTCCTGCGGGCCTTGCGTTCTTTTTCTTTACGGATGTATGCCTCGGCTGTGGTTTCATTAGGTATAGGTTCATTTTCGAAAACATTTCCTTTGGCGGTGGCGCTTAAACCGGCTGTAAATGTGATCTCCATGTCACCAACAGGACCACTCTCTTTCTTCTTTTTGGTTGGCTCATCCCCGAGTCCGAGAGCTGCGCGAAGTTTTTGTCTCTCGATTTCCTTTTTAGATAATTTAGGGACATCTTCATCGGCCTCTACTTCTTCTTCCTCGTCGTCCTCCGAATCACTTCCTAGGTATGCCCGTAGATCGTTTTCGCCAATTTCCGCGCGACTACCTGTGAATGCTCGGTTGATTGCATCTTTTCGGCTTGCTTCTTCGGGGTTCATATCCCATGTGAGTTTGACCTTGGAATGCTGAAGCGCATCTGTAACGAACTCGGTAGGTTTATACCCAGAAGGCACCTGTTCACACTCATCTCTTGGTTCATCGTCGAATTCTGTACCATCGGGGATGAATCTTAGATCGAAAAAGTTGGCGGAACTCAAATACTCTGTGCCGTCGCATTTCTGGTAAATATTCTCTGCAGTTTTCTCGTCCGAACAAACGACAACGGCATAGAAATATCGTAGTCGTTCGAGTTGATATTGCCGTAGTGCCGCGCCATCAAATTCATTACCATCATCTGCCTTTTGTAAATCCTTCTTAATTTTCTCCTCTAATTCCTCGTCATCGGTTTCCTCATCATCCTCAGAGTCATCCTCATCTTCTTCTTCGTGCTTCTTTGCGAAAATTTCTTTTGGTGGGCCCTCCAATTCTTCTCGTTCCATCCTTTCCTTTCCATACTCAGACTGGTAAATAGAAATCTTATGAATCTTTCCACCAGGCTGAACGAAACTCTGAAAAACAGCCATTAAATCCACTGATCGAATGTTGTCCCAATCCAAATTAACCACCGCTATTCTCGAAGAAACCTCTCCCATTTCGACTGCCTGTTGTTCTGCTTGCATATCTGGAAAAGTAGCTTCCTCTTCAATATCCACTCCTCCATCGTCATCTTCATCCTCGTCCTCGTCTTCATCTTCCGAAGAAGAAAAACCACCACCTCTCGCAGGATCATATCCCGCAGCCGCTTTTTTCAATTCCTTTTCAACTACCTCGTCGTCCTCCACCTCCACATCATCTCCACCCCCATTCTCATCGTCACTTTCACTGTCCTCGTCTTCTTCATCCTCATCAACATACAATCTCTCAAGCGCCTTCTTCTTTCCACTGCCACTCAACTTCCTTCCATATCGATCCACCTTTGCTGAATTGGAGAAATCATCATCTTTCAACATGCGCGAGAATCGTTTATCGATCTTCGTTCTGGTCTGTTTCTTCGAAGGAAGTCGAAATCGAGGATCGGTAGTGAAATTGGAGAATCGAGGATCATTGACTGCAGAAGCAGAGGATGCATCATTCGGTGCACCCTTGGGAGCTTTTTGTTTTGGCATTGTGCTGTGAAAGTTTCTAAAATGTGTAATTAACAAGCTTAGAACTTGGAGAACTGGATTTAGGAATTGAGAAACTTTTTTTCGAGATTGCGGGATTTTGCCGGTGGAGGTCAAAAGCGGTGAGATGAGTATTGACGCTGATTAGTCAGTCAGCCACAGCTTTAGCCACTCCCTGGCAACAATGACGAAATGCCTTTTGTAGATCCTCGGTCTGACAATGAGTTTACCGGCCAGACTTGGAGATGAAATAAAACTTCATTCAAATTAAATATAAGCACTATTAACCCAATTTATACAGACTTCAGATAAGTTTCAACTTCATAACTTATAGCAGAATTATCATCAGATATGGATCACGACGAGAAACTGGATAAACGTGTATGTCACTGATTCCTCGTGGCCCCCTCACCCACTTGAATCCTTCAGCACCGCCAGCATCTTGTTCCCTTGATAACTCTATTTCGTAACTGAAATCCATACAGATAGCCTTTACAGTAAGCGGGAAAGTTCAAGGTTCGTTATAGAATATACCTCTGGTCAATTATGCACATGGACAGTACCTCACTCATCACCTTCACCCTGTGATTCTAAGAAGCATTGTTGACAACTAGAATTCTCAGGAGTCAATTTTCGCTGGTTCACACAGAAGAAAGCGAGGGCGCTTGGAGTTGTTGGTTGGGTACGAAATACAGATAATGGAAAGGTACGTTCCATCTATTCATACCTCTTGATTTCCTTTCCTTTTCCCCCAATGTCCCCTAAAGCCCTACTCTTACCAATCTTGTTACTTCAAACCAAAACCAACATAATCCGACAGGTAAAGGGCGAGGCTCAAGGTTCTGCCTCCCAAATCGAAAGTTTACGCGCAGATCTCAAAGAGGGGCCATCTCATGCAAATGTCACAGGGTATGAAGACACGGAGCTGGATCTCAAGGAGAAAGGGGTAGCCGAGGAGAGGTTTGAGGTTGTAAGGTAGTGGAGGCTGATTTTGAAAGATTATGTGTTCGTCTGGATATCAGAGTATGAAATAATGATATGTCAGTCTATCAATGTTCATTTCAGCTTCCAGCCCATATCAGCGTGGATCTACCGATAGCTGTAGATTGCGGGTATATAGATCACTACAGGTAGATAGCGAGACGGACTTAAAAAACTCCCTTTAATTGTGTAGATGAAATGTTATTCAATGATTGAAATTGGACAATGATAGTCAAGAGTTGAATCCTCATTATTAATGCTCGGTGTTTCTCCTATCTTGCCTCTATTTAGCATATCTTGTCAAATATCAAAAGCTAGATACCTAGATAGCCACGAGTGCAGTCAGTCCACCAGGCCCGCGATGTGTAAGCTAAACCTCTGTTCTCCATGCTTTTTTGAAGTCAAGATTCAGCTATTCAATTCTTACGCAGTTGAATCGATAGTTTTGCTGTCCACCTGCTTGCGAAGTTTCCTGGTCCAAAACTCTGGGCTGCCTCGCGTCTCCTGTCGGCTCGTCATATTATCAAAGTCGATATATGCAATATAATGAGAGATTCATATAAGAAATATGGCTTGGTGATACAAACAGGACCAAGTGAGAATTATGAATCACGACAATGTCTCCAATAGCCTTAAAAAAGTATCTATATGGAAACCTGTGCTTCCAAAGAACTCTTATAGTCAAATTCCATCACTCAATATGGTGTACTCGCTATTTGTGGTAGCTTGAGATAAGAACAAATGTATATGAAATATAGTGATCTATACCTTCTCTAATAAAGCTTTACGGAATCAAGCCCCCATAGTTGAGGACTATGAAGAATTGATTGTTAGGCTACAAAGCGAGGTATCGAGAAGTATCCACAATGTGGTTAGTATTAAGGGCCTCGTGTATAGGCAGTGATGGACGAGACGACGCGTTTTCACCATCTTTTGAAGAAGGAAAAGAAAGATTGTTTTGTTTTGCCAAATCGTAACGACTAGAAGGATTCTATCTTGATTTTTGTAGTATATTCCTAATGGTGAGATGCAAAAGATTGAATTAGTTAGTGTTGAAATACATATATCAATGTTAACTCTATCCTTTTATTGGTTCAAATGAGGGGAATGAGGCAATTTATGATATGATATTTTGTGACCATACAACCCGATACAATGGTTATACGAGATTTCTGACTTGTGTGATTGACCATTGAAGCTATACTAAAGCAAGCTTTGCTTGCTAGTTCTAGATTCAAGATTTCTTGGGCCTTAAAATCCAGCTTCAAGATATGTCGACATCAATAGAAGGTTTTTTTTTCCGATCATAGATTGTGAGTTGAAAACAATATTTTTATTCATTCTTGGTCGTCTCTAGATGTATATTTATTAAAAAAAGATTGCATTTTTGTCTCGAATGTATCTCGACTTACATATATTAAACTTTCTTACTTGAGTCTCTTAAATCAATACTACTATTAAGCTCACTTGAATTCTAGACAAAATCGTTCACACTTTGCGTACTGAAATTCTAACTCGCCAAAATTGAAGATCGCACACTCTTGAATAAAATCCCAATCCTACCCCAATCATTGCATCTAAAGGTCTCAAGAACCCGCCCCTGAACGACTTGTGTAGACAATTATCAATTGGCTAATTTCTTAGTATCTGATATAAGTCTGTATTACATCACATTATAAAATTATCAATAAATGGTAATGGAAACCACAAAGTAGAATTAGATCAATAGAAAGAGAGAGGCGTAGAATTGGGGAACTCTAAAAATGTTGATGCTAAGCGAATGGATAATCCATGAGATTCCTACCCCTTAATCAAAAACTAAGAGAAGTATCCCTTTGGGGCATAAGCCATTTTGTACATCTGTCTAAAATTTCCTCCTGCAAACAAGCTCCAGTCGCTCGCTTTGGTTTTGTTGTCAAAGTTATGAGTATTGAGCAAACAACTTTTTGGAATAGATTAATATATTTGGGAATATTCTAGAAAAATGTTAGAGATTCGATTATATTTTAAATTTGAGGATACTTACGCGTGCATATTCAATGATTTCCGAGCAAACCAGCCATTAATGCGAGTAGAACAGCCGCTAAGACAGCCGCTAATAGAACGTGTAATTTTCGAATACATTTTCTCGCGTTCATCGATGCGTATATACAGCTGATTATTTCGTTCCTCAAGTCGGGCGCTTTTTACAAGAAGTATGACGTTTTCTAGACGAAGTTCGGTAATTTCGAGACGTAGCTCTATATTCAATTCGCCAATATTAACCATATCGTCGCTATCAGATTGATGTTCTTGATCCTGAATATAAACAACTTGAACTTCGTTCTGATCTGACAAATTGAAGTTATAAGCAGACATGATGTTATAATGAATGAAGGTGAATGTAAGAGAATGGGGTATTGTGATATTGTTGAAGTTGGTGTATTATATCGTTAAGACTTGTTCAGACTTGTTTGTGTTTTTTTATATCGACTTAAGCAAAATAGTTGTTGTGTTATATAACACATACCTAACAGTAGGACAAAGGCTGAACACTTAAGTGTACAAGGGGTATGGTATGTGGAATAGTTTGTTCAAAAGTCACCTGATGGGGATAAGATCTCTATGAATTTATAAGAATAATTCTTCACTATTTTGAACTGTTTTGGTTAGTAGCCAACGTATCAGTTTCAAAGATGAGCTGTACTGGTATGCGCTAGCTTCCAATGTATCTCGATTTTCACGGATTCTTACTTGATACGCGAAAGTGTATGGCCTCAGCGGATAAGTCCTTACTACTTCGCCAACCTTCTTATACCATATCTACAACATACCGCGATATTCACGCCAATCACAGTGCTACTGCGAGAGAGAACGGCGCAGCTTTATTAGTTTTGCTTGAGAATATCAAAAATTCTTCAGCTCTTCTAAGCCATTAAGCATGGGCATCTTCAGCTCACTCGCGGGTCCAGTTATGGTCGGACAAAACTACGCATTTACTATCGACGAAACTGAAATGATTCATGAAGGCCATCTTGCAGATGGATCTGTATCTGGTCAGACTTCTCTCTCTTATCTTATTGCTCTCCAACATGCTCTCACGACTGAAGCCAGAGAGGACGGTACCATGGTTCGTTGGATCTTGAACAGCAATTTTCCAGTACCATCTCCGGCGGTGTTAGCGGTGAAATGAGGAAGCGGCAGACGACAGTAGACTTTAGTGGAGATGGAACTGTACCAAATGAATGGAACCTTGGGCGGAGGTGCTGGTAATGACGTTGGAGGAAGAGAAAGAGGAGCTGCAAGACTTAGCGATGGAACCGTCCTCAGTCAAGACATTTATTCACACGCTACTAACGCAGAAGTTTGTCTCGTTTTCTTGAATGTATTCTCCGGCAAAAGCGCCGGCCGCACTAAACTCCGACGCACAGATCAAGATACCCTCGTCACCTCCATGCTAGCCGAATGTAACAACACCGTCATTACTATCAGCATCGTTGATGCCCGACTCGTCGACACCTATTATCATAAAATTGAAATAAATTATCTACAGCCCTCCAACATTCCAGCATTATCCGGCCATTCTATTTCCACATCCCACACAATAAACACTTCCAAAACTCTCATAAACAAGCAATGTATAATTATCACATCTCTCTTTCTATTACTTTAAATTTTTAAACCTATCCATGCATCCCTCGATCCCTAATCGATTTCGCTATACAAACTTTAGCTCATCTGATTCCACCAGCTTCCGTCCTCTGTGCTATCCGTCTTATGAATCTCTCGTTTCATCTCCAACCTTTCCACCTTACCCCTCTCCAAAAATGAATCAAACTACATATCCCATATAGTGAATTATGTATGCACATCTTTCTTTCATTCCGTCCCTCCGTCCGTCTCTCATTCCCAGCGATCAATCTCCAACCCCACATCTCATCTTTTTTCCCGTTCGCCTACGCACACGAGTTTTTCTTCGAAACAACCAAATCCCTCACATCACAAATTCATCCAAACTCCCTGTTTCCCAACTTTCTTTTGTACAACGCAAACGCAACTCCCACTACTTGGTTTAATAATACAATCCATCGTTCTTCTTTCCTCACAATCAAACTTTGATATCCGTCTTCTCTTGTTCAACTCCTGCTTCGGTATCACTCTTGACATTTGTCGCCAAAATTTCATTTTCCTTCCCCTTAATATTCTCCTCAACCCCCGGCCCCTCCAAATCAATTTCCTTCCTCAAATCGGGCAAAAACCTATCAATTCTCTTCCAAGTTTCGGTCCATAACTTCTCCTGCGTCTCATCTTGACTACGCGGTACCAAGTATCCGCTACTAGACATTACAAGAAGGACATTCTTTAAACTTTCTGGTACTGCTTCTTCCTATTTCATTTATTAGTAAATTTACAACCATCGAATAGTTCCATTGACATACCAAACTATCACCCTGTCCACTATTCATCAAACGATCCATGATGTCAAGTATCTTAATCCAAAGATCCAGCATACCCTCCCATTTCGACAACAGTACTAGGTAGTGCAAGAAGATCCTACAGAGAAGCGTGGCGGCTTGAACACGAGTTTCACTCATGCCAATGGGATCGGATGAGTATACTTCTGGCTTTAGCAATCGAGTTATGAGAGGGAAGAGAACCTCGCCGAATATAGCGGTCCATTCTTCGTGATCACCTGACGTTAATTCTGGTGATAATAACGAACGCTGTAACGAAGAGAATGCTTGATGTCGAATTTCTCGGCAAGGATTGGTACACTGTGTCGTCAAAGCCATGAAGATTGGCGACCAATAATTTGCCCAAGCTGTAGTGAGTTAGTAAAAGTTGATGCGATGGATTAATTTACACTTACCCTCTTTGCTTTCAAGATGTGATTGTTCCATCAGGACAGGAATTCGCGACGTCAAAGAATATATCATCGTTATAGCCTTGACTCCTCTAGCTACGACCGCATCTACCACCTGTGGCTTTGGCTGTTTGACTGGTTGTCCTCTTCGTGTCCTCTTATCCTGTTTTTGCTCCACGGTAGACCCTACACTCCCGGCGGTGGCAAAATCATTGAGCAACTTAACAGCTGACTCATAATTATCTGCCATTATAGTTGGTGGAGAACCAATAGCAACGCCTTCAAGGATTTCGAACACAGCCGATGCTGAAGAAGGACTGGTTGCAAGATTTTTAAGAATTACCCAGAAGTCGGGGGAAGTCATGATTTCGTTTCGTAATGGACCTGGCTCTTTTATGCATTGTGTTAATCCTTGAAGAACAAATGTGGCAGATTTCTCGAACAAATCCTTCTTGAAACTTGAGATAGCGTGAAGCACCACAGGAACACGAATGTATGATTGTTCCTACATATATTAGCTTTGATTGGTTAGACAAGATAAGATGTACTAACATAGCTTGCGTGCAGTAGGTGCAGTAGATAAAATATTGTTCTAGATACCATCAAGGGATGCCAACTGGCAGAGTTTCGTAGAACGTTTTGTAAAGCTTCTGCAACTTCAGCCCCAAATGCGTTGGTAGTTTCATTATCTCGCATTGCAAGCACGGTACACAGCTCTAATATGTAAACCATTGATGGATCATACACAGGACCGGATGGTGCACCGTTAATGCCATTTGTAGGACTTGATGGAGGCTCCACTTCCGATTTCACACTTATGACGACCGATGAAGGGTCATCTGGCAATTGCGATATCAATGCTTGTATGAGAGGTCGTAAGGAATCAATAGGCATGTTTCTAATCACATTAGCGAACGAGTCAGAAGAAACGAGTAGATATTACTTACACTACATTTGCGAACACGTCGCCCATGAAGCAAGCATTCACACAATCGACTGTGCACAGGGTACTTTCGAGCTCTTCATCCGATGGCTCTGGAGGATCGTCTGCAGCATAGCTAGTAATGTATGACGCAAAAGCAGAGAAAAGACCGGTGTCGCTGGGTTTTGCCCCGCGATCAATGACTTGGGAAGGATTTTGTAAGGGAATTGGAGCAATATCCATGCTATTAGTTGTAGCAAAGAAGGGGGTATCAGAGAATTAACAAATAAGTTCAACCAAATCCTAGAAATCTGTACACGTGATTAGCAAATCTTAGTAAGTGTTTGAATATTGATCAACTTACGTGCTTCCAACTTTCTCCTATCACACTTTCACTACCTAACACAACACGGAAAAGCACAACAGTCGCAAGTTGAGCCTTCACATCTCTACCAAACTTGACTGCAAGTTCACTAACCATGACACTATTCTCCCCAACCTGTATCTCCGTATTGAGAGTAGTACTGGATGGAATCTCTGTTGCAAGTGTAGTAATGTGACTCAGACAATACACGACTTGGTCAATGACTTCAGTCAAACCATGTTTGGCTGCGATACGGACACACTGATCAAAACCAGTGATAACTCTCTCAAACACAGCATCATCAGTCGCCGACATAAAGACATACGACAGAGTTGCAACTACCGGTTTCCAAGTAGCTGCGAACATATCTGCATCGAAGATATTAGTGTTGCAGATAGTGAGATCACCCGCGGAAGCAGTTTTTAGTAATAATTCCTTCCAAGCATAGTCGAAAGCATGTTTGTTGTCATGCTCATCAGGCAGAATGATCTCGTTTGATTTGATAGACTCGTAGATGTCCTGGAGATATTGCGGAGCAAAATCCTGCCCGCCATTAACTCCACGCAAATTCCGTGCAAAGTTTTCTAGCTCCATGCGTTTACCCTTCATGTTCGGATTATGCTGATCTGTATTCAACATGATAATGGCATAAGTTAGAACATATACGGAATCTTTATCCGCGATACCTTCAGGTAATGTGCCCGAACAATAGTTTTCTGCGAAAGTCGAGATAATCCGTTCAATCAAAGCAGATTCTCCAGGTAATCTGAAGGTCTCGAGGAGTTCACGCAGCGCCTCGTCAACTCTCTTGTTTTCAAAATCAAATGAATCCATCAAAGCTTCTAGAATGGGCTCATTTCCTTTCTTGGATATGAATTCGCCCAATTGCTTTTTGTCGATACGAGACGTTCCCTTCAAGAAATTTGCGACAGTCTTTGCATCTCTCGGATCATCTATGATGCCCTGTGACGCTAAAAACGCAATTCCAGCTTTCGGACTCTCGTTAAATTTGACCGTTCCCTGAATGATAATCTTCTTCCTTCGTTTCTGCTCACGTAGTGTTGCTTGATCAGGGTAGCCATCATATTTCGGTTCATCGCCAAGTCTATCTGCAATGAATTGAACAAAACCTAAGAGAGCATCCAGACAGAGTGGTGGGACACTTGTCGTGCTCCAAGTTGCAGAATCTGGAATCGCATTGCGAGACAGAAGTCCAACCATATCCTCGCAGATATCACTTCGGTCAATCTCGCAATCATAATTGACGTATAGTTCAGCCATATAGCTCGGGATCCGCGCAAGAGCCCCAACACTTTCCACCATTGCTTCACGTGCATCCGGCTTACGCGACCCACCTTCTAACCCTAAGGTTCGACGATCTTTCACAGGTACGGGCGTGGAACGACCGCTGCTAGCTTGTGATGGTGGGGGCTTAACCAATTTTGGAGCCTGTGGTATACCAGCATACAGAGAGGGATCGATTCCCCTTTCCCGAGGAATTTCTACGCGAGGATGCAAGCATGCAACCAGATAAGACAGAAAGAGCTCTTGCTGCAACTTCAAGACTCCTCTGCACGTCGAGAGAAGAGTGCCAGCAACAATGAGCGACTCCTGTAAGATAGCCATATTGTCCGATCGGACTAATTGGAATAGATATCGACAAAGGCGGTCTTCAGCAAGGTTTGCCAAAGCTGGATGTTTGGCAATTGAAGGACCTGCTATCTCTAGAGCTACGTTGATCATACGAAGAGCGATGACTCTCAAAGGATCGGCATGTTTTCGATCGTGAGGATCTAGTAAATCTATCAAAGCCCTGAATAGCTCACAAATAGATGGGAGAGAATAAGGCTTGCTGGGAGTATCATCCGAAGCCTCTGATGCCGGCGCCACAATTCCAGCTTCAGATGAAGACTCTAAGAGAGGAACCTTTTCCATAGCAGATGACGGCCGTGATGTATCAAAGCTTGAAGAAGGTGGCCGTGATCCGGCAGGAGATGCGGTCAATTTCGTGATAGCACTTGTACTCGCTGCTGAAGGGGCCATTTTGACAGTGTCCATATCTTCCTTTGTCTTCTCATCTAAAGCTTCTAGATCATCCCCAGCCTCAATTTCTAAATGCTTCAGTCTCTCGAAAATGATCTGACACATCTTGGCCATAGTCATTTCGGCAGTCCCACGAAATAACTCTGATAGCTGTGGCTGACAACACATATTTAAATTCGTCTCCATCATTTTACAAACACTTCCATCACTCAGTAAATCTCCGCCAGGGCCAGACAGCATTCCTTCCATAAGTTTCAATATTTTTTGATACACTTTCTCTTCAGCTACTGTATCTCGAGCTTCGAACCGGCAATTTGTCATGGCAGCAGATAAAGACTGCATTGCCTGTGAAAGTCGAGGGGAGCTTGGACTGATTAAGTTGTACGAGAAGAACTTTATGATGGCAGCCAGGGCTAAAGTTGTGATCGGCGACGGCGTTGCGGGATTTTCGATGACCATAACTTGAAGAAAAGGGTGGAGTAAAGATGGTGCATCGAATGTGTGTATGTCTAACGGTAGAAGAATCATAAAATCAGTTGTGCCCAGCTCAAAAGGGATTTACTTTACCTACCTTTGCATCCAGTCAATTCCTGTCTGAGGCGCTGAAATCCAGCCATCAGAGGATTATCTTGCATGCTCTTCCCCTTCTTTCCCCTCAAACCCCATCTGATTGCCAAGCCTGCATCATCATTCCCTTCTGAGACCACTGAACCTTTCGGCGCCCTGCGAGTTCCTGGCTCATCTCGCGGTGTAGAAGGCCTTGAGTTCTGAACCCCGGCGCTCAGCGGACTTGAATGCCCCCCCAATATAGAAGAAGCCGATGAATGCGCCCACCGAGGATGTTTCCGCATGGCAGAAGTAACAGCACGACATTCTTGAATGATAAGGGTGACAGGGTCGACAGCTACTGAAATCATACTAGTATTCGAGGCCATGCTACCATTGAGTCGTTGCGGGGCGACACTATCAATGCTTTGGCGCAAAGCTGTAGAAGATGTTGAATGAGGTTTGGGAGAGGTAGCTGAAGCTGTATCTTGTGTTGGGGCATTATTGCTCATGTTGTATGTCGATTACCCACCGAGCACAGCATAAGGACTAATTCGCCAACGTGAAGCACGCGCGGGTGTTGTCAGTCTTGAACGATATAAGGGATTCTATCTGGATAGATTCGAGTCGCAAAAAACAAAAGAACTATTTGTATGTATTATACAAATACGAAAACGTCAACTAGATTGGATATCAAAAGCTAATACCTACGATGTCATTGTAGGCTAAACTTTACCAGGTACATAAATTCGAAGAGCACAGATGTCTGTAATGGCAGAACTACGGGTACCCGAGTAGCGATACTGTGTTCTTTGACATGACAGCCAAATAACCTTCCAGGTTATCTTAGACAAGGTGAAATAAAATTTCAAGAAGTGAAGAGAAGGTAGAAAAGATATTGCTTCGATATTTCGTAAGATGGGTTGTTAATCAATAATTCAAATCTATGGTACTGCTGTGTGTATTTTTACAAGAACTCCATCCTAGATTACACTTCAAAGTCATGACTCAAGTGCTGAAAGGCCACCCCGTATTTACGATTCGGCATCAAGAATGCTTTTCCACCCTCTCTCAACCCATAAGATAGAAATAATTCGCCGGGTTGTGATAATTTTCTAAATATCCTCGTAGCCTTGTCAAGAACTGGCCCAGCCAAAAGCTAATGCGTGTTACTCACTTAACCAAGTTTCCTTGTACGCCCCTCAAATAAATTCCGTTATTGTACCTAAACCAGTCAACAACGATGCTAATGCTTGAGTTTTATAACATTCTTACTTTGTCCTTTGGCTTACTTTCTTCGGCCTTGGAGTCTGGAGCTTTTGCAGCACCATCGTCTTCCTTAGCTTTAACTTCAGCTTTCTCCTTCTCCTTCTTCTCCTTGAGAGCTTCGTCTGCGATGACGTTCTTATCCTTCTCCCATTGTGGAGTTGGATCATCAAACTGTTCCTTCATCTTCTTATTACGTTCCGCCTTTTCCTTTTCTTCATTTTCGCGAGCAATACGCTCTTGTTCCATTTCCTAGAAATCGTAAGTGATTTGTCAAAAGCCCAATGTTATTCAACTGACCTCCATGTGACGAATATCATCAACACTTGGCTCATACAAATGCCAAATAGTATAATGAGGTAATCCAACTACCGAAAACTTCATTCGTTTTGCCATCTGTTCTTTTAATTAGCATGAGCATAATAAGAGAGTAGAAAGAGTTTCGAACCTTTCCGAATCCCTCAGTCTCGGCATGCTTTTCAAAACTAAAGGCAGGGAAATGGACACCGGATCTGAAAACCTTGGCTTTGGCCAAAATACTAACACCTCCAACACCATCGATATCCATTTCCATATCAGGGTCACCATATGGATCTCTCAAGTATGCCAGATGGGGACGCCATGTCGCATATTCCGCATATCCCTCCACGATGACTGCATCTTCGTCAAGAGTATCAGCTAGGGCTAAGGCCGTTTCGGATTCTTGCCATGAATTCAAATCATAAGGTTGCTCTCCTCCAAGCCAATCTGGCAATGGTCGCCAAACATCTAAAACTTATTAGCCAATTGTAATAGAAATTATACACCATTACTCACTAGGTACGATGACGTCCTTATTGTGACGCATCAGATCCTCTAGAATTGTGAAAGGTGCGGTCTCGACATCCACATCTCTCCAGTAAACCCAGCTGTGATAAGGACGTAATGCAGCGCTTAAAAGCCAATTTCTGGCTTGTGCCATCAATTTTCTTCGGCTTGCTTGTGCAGCGAAACCATGACGACTCTCTACATCCTGGTTGACCTTTTGACCAAAATCCTTTTCGATGATAGATATTTCACCGTATGGTTGTTTTGGGTCCTCGTCGGCTTGTAATTTCTCCAAAAGCTCCGAGAGCAAAGATAGGGTGTTGTCCTTGGAATCAGAGACCAAGAATGCAAGATCTATAAGGTGATGCGGGTATGTAAAATTACGAAGATGCGCGAAAAACATTGGCAGATGGGGCTCGGCGTCACGAAGGGGAGCACAAAGTAAGATCCGTTCCTCTCTTTCCCAACCTCTGGCCGTCCCTTGTACATTGGAAAGATCGTAATATCGAACGGTTTCGAGTTGAAAGTCCTCCCCTGAAGATATGAGGCCAAAAGATAATACTGGAAGGACCGCGGCACCAGGCCATATAAACAGTCCAACTACTAATGCGAATACTAAGACGAGAGTCAAACGAACGAGAAGCTGCCTTCGACGGCGCAGCGCTGGCGGTGATGTCCTTGGTTGGAATCTGTATTCGAAAAGTTGTTAGTAGATGAAATATACAATCGTGGCGATGACTTTGGGCATTCAATTTGATCTGCACGAACCTATGTGGTGATATGGAGTATGTGTCGCTCTTAGAGTATGGATCGCTCTTGCGAGGATATCCATTAGAATATGCGGTTGCTTGATGCCTGGGCATCATTTTGGGTGAGGATACAGATGCATAAGAGGGTAACAATCAAAAGAGTTACAATGAACCCAGATGGCCGAATGTCAATGTTGACAGTTGGTTGTGGAAATTTGAAGGTTGTGTAAATGGGTACTCGAGTATATCAGAATAGAATACTTTAATTCAAAGTATGAGCATCTCTAACTTCTGAGAGAGCAGGGGGGATTGCTGAGTGGATTCGTGTTCCTTGAGTGGAACTTACTTCAAACCCAAAAAAGAACCTTAGCCACAACTTCCCTACATACGGGACACAATTTACAGGGGATTCTATACGACGTAATTGAACTTAGAATTTGTACGTGCCAATCATATTTGCATAGTAATGAATCATGTAATTGTTGGTACTATACGATGGAATAATAATCAATTGTAATTTTCATTCATTTCAACTCACAATTGAAGAAGATACTGTACAAAGTATGTAATGCAAGAACGATATCAAGTCTGCTCATTCCTCGACGTCTCCAATTGGGCATTCCATGGAGAAATGATAAATAGAGTTTATCTATCATTGATTGACCCTACCTCCCTAATAGAGTACCTCTCTGCCTACTAGGTAGTATTTCATTAACGGCTACTCCAGCAAACCACCCATCACTGAAAGTCTGAAACGTCGAACGAGCCATACTTTAATTTAAGCGATTAGACGCCAATGCTGAGCTTATTTCACATATCTATCTAGGCAGGTAGGTGTGATTATGGCTGATTCAGCAATCTAATAGGAAGTTTTATGCTTCACCAATTATTTAGTTTTTTACCTTGACAGAATACCTAATAAGTAAGATTACATGTGCCGGAAATCTTGAAAGGGGCTTGGTAAGGGTTAAGATCTCTCGGATATGACAGTTATACAATGGCCCAAGAACAAGCTTGGCACATAAGGAAGTCGACATTAAGTATGGAGATTCTGTTGTAGCTGTACCCTTTTGACTCTAGCTAAAAGTCTCGAGAAGGGGTCCACCGAGTGCTCAGGTCCTCTCACGTGCATTTGGTGCCTGAGACCTATTCAGGCCTACATGAGTTCCGGGAAAGGTTTAGTCAAATTACCGAAGCTAGCGCATAAGCTAGTGAGAAGCTCTTTTTAATTCTCTTCGCACAAAAAATTAAAAGTTTCTTTGATCCCAAAACATTCAATCTTCCACAATTCTCAATTGAAGGGAAGTCGACAATAAATCAACAATCTTTGGTAAGTGTCATCTATGCAACCTCTTCATCTCCCCTCTTTTCGATATGATTACAAAACCGATCTGTCAATCCCCTGACAACCAGATTTATCTGGACATGATGTCTTAAAATATGTTTTAATTCATGATTCATCGAACCTCAAATTTATCATTGTACATTCTGCCACTTTGACAATAGAATCATTACTAACATAATGAAGTAATTGATAGTCTTGAGCTCGATTTCAAAATGTCTCCGAACATTGTTTCAGAGCCCGTTGCCATATCATTCATTGCTGGCCGGTATTTGCTATTCGACATAGATGTCGTGACTCACCTTCGCAGGACTTACCATATCTGTGGTGTTTTGACTGGCACCATTCCGCAGATTCCACAACAGAACTTGTTCCTTGGCCTCCCCGTCGAGTTGCTACCAGAAGAGGCCAAAGTCCTCGTTGATAAGAAGATTGCATACATTGTTGAGGATACCCCTTGGCATAAACAAAACTTCAGTTCGCTGGAAGGCTCGGACAGGAAGAAATACCTAGAGTCCCTCAAAACAGAGGCATTCAAAGCAAAAAGAGCTGCAGATACTGAAGCCAGAAAGCGCACTGAGAATGCTCTAGCAAAGAAAGCTTTGAAAGGTGGGAGTGGATCGTTACCAAGTACATCTCGTGCAAGTAATGATCCCCAAGATACTATTTCCAATGAACCAGACCCTTTATTCGAGGATGAACGCCCTGCCTCTCGAGCCTCATCTGTAGCATCTTCATCCACGAAATCTTGGGGTATTACACCAACTGTTTCATATCCCTCATCATCTTCACCCCAAACCTTTCCATCAAGTTCAGATCCATCCGTTCCTTCATCTTATCCTTTATTTGCTCACTTGCACTCTCGTGACTACTTCATGACACCTGGTCTCCGATTCGGGTGCGACTATACTGTGTATCCAGGAGATCCTTTACGCTTTCATAGTCACTTCGTAGCGACAGGTTATGAATGGGATGAAGAAATCCGGTTGCTGGACATAGTCGGAGGTGGTAGGTTAGGTACTGGTGTCAAAAAGGGCTTCCTGATTGGTGGCGAAAGCCCTAACAAGAAATCTGTTGAGGAGGAAAATGATGGAGTAAGAACCTTTTGTATAGAATGGGGTGGCATGTAATTTCAGAATGATATACCTACCATATTGATGAAAAATGAATGAAAAATGAATTTCAATTGCACATGTCAAATCCGAGTGATGCCTTCAAGATCAATGTATGAACTATGACAACTTGTGAAAGGAGCCTTCCAACTGAAAGCCTCTCAATATCTCAATACATTGCATTTTGATTTGTGGAGGTCAATGATGTCGAAGTGCTAATCAGAGTTTCATCTCTTTCACCCCTCCCACCTACGATAATGTAACCTTTAAGCTTCTTTTGAACATCACTACGGCACCTTGCATTCTAGAATCGGCCGGAACAACATATTCCGAAACATTGAATGAGGTCGCATCAGACAATCAATAAGTCAGTCCATGGGGATGTTTGGATTTCTCTTTTCGACATAAACTTTATTGACTGTCAACATCTCAGTCATATTCTTCTTCCTTTTAGCCCAGGAGGATGCCCTTTATCTGGAATTTTTGATGGTCCGGTGAGACCAAGAAACATCGACTAATTATCTCTTTGTGACGACCTAAACCGTTTGCATTGATTCGAATCTTAGCTTATCATGGCCACTCCAACAATGCTCGATAATGGTACAAAATTTGACATTGCTTCATGGACGAACTGGACCGCAGTTAATGTTACGCAATATGTGCCGTCTGCAAGGGATTTTGCTTTGGCAGGACCGCGAATGGTCATGAAACTCGGTTCCTTTCTTGCAGTTCCGGAAAGTGTTGATAATATATTGGGTATAAGGATGGCGGCACGAATAATCCCAGAAGCTACTGGATCTGGCATACCTGATCCCGCAGAAACGATAACTGCCGCAGCAGTTGCGGGTGTAAGACAGATTGTAGAGACCAGCTCGGAAACATTGACGGAAGAGAATATGATGGAAAGCTCAAGATTCTCTTTGGAGAGTGCGCGAAGTCTCGGAGGTTTATTTGCTTATGCCACAAGCAAATGGGCCCTTGGGTGTATAGTGATGGCCATCGTTTTGAATCGCACGCATATAATGGCCAGCACGAGAAGGCCACTCGAATTTACATGGAAACCACGCTTCCTATTACGAATCATACCTATAATACTACTTCTCGTTCAAGCCAGATGGTTGCTGCAATCAATACAATGCCAGACATCCCCTGATTTTGGTTACTTGCGGTGGGGTAATTCTTCAAAATCCCATAACCTCCTGTTCACCCAGGATGGAGGTCCTCTGTATACGTTCAGTCAAGCCCTTCTGTTTGGTGCTAAGGATTCATCCTCATGTCTGGCGGTGAGTATGATTCCTAGTAATTATACCATGGGGAACGAGACCAATTCTGAGGAGGGAATCCCCACCACATACGATCTTTCCGGATCTTTATCACTTCTATGGCCTTTATTTAAAACATTTAGCTTCAGTCAATTTGTCGAAACGGTGTCCTGCGCTGTTCAAGGTAAGCCTACCCCATATGATTTCCAATCATCTTTTTGTTTGCATGCTGTAGATAGTGCTAGAGGATTATGGTGTTCAAATTTTTCTGCATTTTCTATAATAGCTTGGGTATACCATAAGTGCGTGACCTAACAACATCCAGGTCGCCAGGTCGCAGCTGAAACAGGAATGACGCTCTTCGAACACTCATTAGCCTTTGCTGAGGCCGATGCCGCCATTAGTGCTCAAATCGTTGGTTTTACCAAGATTAAGATTCCAGCGGAAGACGACTCAAATGCTGGACCCACTCAATTTACTGTTACACGCTCCATGATCATGAAGAAAATAAATACCACGCCAGAAGTCCTACTTGTTGGATTTCTCTCAGTTATGAACCACTTGAGTAGTCACATCCTTGCAATATTCGATATCCAAGGAAGATATCGACTACTTAGTACTGGATTCTGGGGCATATCATTCATGTTTGTGATTGTTTGGAGTCTCGTGTCATTTTCTTTCGATCACCCTTCAAGCCAAGCATTATTGAGGTTTCCTACGGTTTGTATTATTGGATTTATACCCCATGTTCTCGTTCTGTGCGGTATTATCATATGTTCAATCATATACGGCGTTGCATTGATCTTGTCTACATTGGCCCCTGCTAGTGGTATCGACGAGTCCAATATTCCAGTTGGACAAAATCTGCCAGATACTCCTCGCCCTCGATTATCCTTCTCGCAGAGAGTGATCAATGCACATCATAACATGCAAGCGAATGTCCCATTGTCAAGTATCCGAATAACAATGCACATGGACTTCTATACGGCTCTGCTAAGGACAGGATTTGCTGTTATGACTATGGCTAGTGAAGCTGTTTATCTGAATGAGAGTCGAGGGGTGAACGTCAAACCTAACACCTGGCTCGAAGATGATCGTCTACGTGAGATTGAAGAGACTGGAGCACAATGGCTAGGTCCAAGTTTTAAAGCTCATGAATCTGAGCTTGCCATAGATGATCATATGCCTCATAACGTTGGTCTCGTAGCGGCCACTAATCAGAGGGTACTTCCACAAAAGAATAACAGTCCTTATGCGCGCGAGATGACTGCACAAAAGAATGCAAAGTCCAAAGGAAAAGAGCGATCAGTCAGAGATGGTGTTGGTGCTACAGAGCGTAGTGGGCGTTGGGTAATGGCATTGGAGTTCTTTCTTGGGATCAATAGATTAATTCTTAGCTGGTAAGTAATTTTCCATCATTTGTACTTCACAGAAGTTTCCATTCATCTACAGTTTGACACTGGAAGACTTTATTGGGAACGTGCAGAATGGTATCACAAAGTTGCTCGCAATAACTAATTATTTCCAAACTCACCTCCGCGCACGCCACACCCTTGTACATGCTGACAATTGCTAATTTATGGATTGCAGGTGGGCAATATGTATCTTAATGTTTATGAGTTGGCTTGGAATTCAAAGCCGCCCAGGCTGGCTTCTTTGGCTTGTATCGCGAACAAAAAGAGACCCCGCCAGCACAGCCGTGCAAGCAAATGACCCAGATACACTCAACTTCTGGCTTCTGAATATCGATGGAGAATTGACTCTACCCAAAGATGACCATGTGGATGTAGAAGTAGAAATGAGAAGGCGACTCAAGACCAGCCAAGAATATTGGAGTCGACATAGAGAGACCGAGTTGGACACCAGTCTATATCAATGGTGGCTGAATGGCGGCTGGTGGGGAAGTGATGATAACAGTGGAACATTCAGTCCCGAGAAAAAGGATATCGAAGATGACATGACCAGTGTAATCTCATATTCGACAGAAGATGAACGAGATTGGGAGTCGGACGATGCCATAACAGATGGTCAAAGAACTCCCACACAACGATCACCTCATCCATCGCGAGAATCTAGTCCATTTCTCGACACACCCCTATCCACAACAGATCTAGCTCAACTCTTACATCCTCGAAACCCCGAACAAAGAGCAGAAGCTCAAGCCCTCTCACTCCACCTCTCAAGCGATAAAATCCTAACTCGTTCCCGCTACCGCGATATCATTCAGAGAGAACGAGCCCACGTCCTAACATCCACTCTTCAACGCCCTCCAAATTTCATCCCCTCCGATCCATCGGGCAAACTTTCTCCAGACGAAGAAGCCCAAATCCTCGAGCATCTCATTATCTCCAAACGCAACTATCAAAAAGCTACCCAAGAACCGGCTTCCTGGATGCAAGGTGCATCCGGCATGGGAGAAAATGGCCCACAATGTGTGGTCTGTCAAAGCTCGCCTAGAAGCGTTATTGTGTGGCCTTGTCGTTGCTTGAGCTTATGCGATGATTGTCGTGTTACGCTTGCGATGAACAATTTCGATAAGTGTGTTTGCTGCAGGAGGGATGTGGTGAGTTTTAGTAGGATCTTTGTTCCGTAGTGGGGAGCCATAGGGACGAGGACAGGACCTTGGCAGGATGGGTGCGAATGGGTGCACAGAATGATTTGTTAGCTATGGCACACGTCAGTTTGGAATGTAGATCTGAAGTATATTCGTGCGGTACGAGGATATTCATAGTTGACAGCAAAGGGTGGAATTTTTCTTTTCTTTTCTTTTCTTTCAGGGGCGTGGGGATTTTATCGCGAGGAGTAGTACAAAGTTTTGCGTTTTCTTTTGTATCATTAGATTAACCTATGTTATGTGATGTGATGTGAGTCAGTAGTATTTATCATGACATGAGCACATATCAAAATAACGCACATAATTTTCACCACCAATTTTACACGAAAATCTAATTCGTTCCATTCATGTAATTCAGTAAATCTTTGCTTGAAATGATCATGATTTAATATCTTGTGATATCTCCGTCTTATCCTGACGTGTACTATGTCGTGCGAATAGCGCCTTTATATCCTAGCTCTGTGTGATCTCTGACAATCCCAATTCTGTCCTGAAATGATCGAATATGATCACACGGGGGGTCGCATCTCCGCTTATTTTACTTTTCTCCTGTTTCTATCCTATCTCTTTTTCGACGGCCCCGTTGTGCAACTTTCCGCGCAAAGATGCTCAGAGTATGATTGGAGAATCCGAGTTTCCTATCTCTCACCATCTACCCAATCCACATCTATTCTATTCAGCGCATTTAATTTTTCATCATTTCCTTTACCACCCTGCTTGAAATCGAAAGTTCAATCCCCATCCTTCTCCAAAAACCCCGGATCATTCCTCACCCTCGCCTCAAACTTCTTCCACCACTCTTCAAATGCCTTGAGAGGCACCACTTCTACTCCCTTCCCATTTCCCGCATCCATGATATTACCGCTGAAACTCGCGAGGAAATTAAATGCATTTTTTATTATGCGTTGCGCCAGGACTAGCGTATCCGTATTCGTAGGCTGGGGTCTGGAGAGAACTAATGAGGTTCCGGGCTTTGACGACGATGCACCTGCGGAAGAATGGGAAGGAGATAGTTGTGCCATTTGCGCAGATACTGATTCGGCGCTCTCGAGAGATATTCCGATGGTGATTTCGCCTTGCATTTGGGGCGTTGTGGATTCGGCGTCCATGTCGATTTCGGGGGCATTGTTTGGGGATTGAGAGGAGGAGATGTCGCGGTTGATTTTGAATATGGCGCTTTCTTTGCCGGGACCGATGCCCCCGAGGAATTTGAAGGGAGGATCGGATGATGCGCCGGTAGGGGAGGGGGGGAGAGAAATGTAGACTGCGGCGGCGGTGGAGGGGGGGAGGGTGATTCCGGGGAGGATGAAGACGCAGATGTGTTGGTAGGAGCGCGCGGGGAGGGTAAAGGTAAAAGATGTTGGGGAGGGGGCAGAAGTAGGCGTGGTGATTGGCGGGAGGCCAGTAGGAATTCTGGAGAAGGGAGAGAGGTTAGCTTTTTGTTTGTTGGGCTAGCTGGGAAGAAAGCTTGAAGGGTTAGAGCTGGGAAGAGACGAACTTACATGCCAAATAATTGGGGTAGTGAAGGGGGAGCTTGCTCCATGGTGGCTTGGTAATATTCTCGCGCGTTATGTGATTGCGATCCGGATGTGACGTGTGATAGGAATAATGGCTACCTCAGTATGTATGTATGTAGCTGATCAGAGCTCCAATTTGTGCTCAAATGATGCGAATCACACGAAATTAACACAATACAATGACTGTATCTAAATGAATTGGTAGCTTTTGCAAATGATAAAAATTGCTTGTAGATTGAGTTTGAAGAAATAAATGCGAATTTCGAATTGAGGTAACTATTTTCAGTAGAACTAGGGAAGCTTAAGGAATTTTAACGTCATTCGCGAAAGTTCTCGTTGTGTCCATGAGTAGCTAACAATGAGATTGCGGGGCTTGAGCGGGGCAGCTTTTTTGTGCGTGGTGGGGGTGCACACTGCAAAGTAATTTTAGCCATCGGATTCAGTCATTCTTTGCTAATTTTGACTCCCGAGATTCATCAATACACCTTGGTATAATTGCACTAGCAGTATTACTGTGTTCATACCTAGGTATTTTTATAGAGTGTCTTTGATACTCTTTTTCTTATAAGACTGAGAAATCTAAGTTTTGGACATTGGATATAGGAATATATTTGTCACTTACTAGAAGTTTTTTTTTTTGGATACACTTCATTCGACACATACGAATCACGCATTTCTGGAAAGAAAATACCTAGAGAAAGAGACACCATGAAGACTTATTTAGATCTCGTTGATGAGTGCGATACGTAAGTATTTTTAATTCGGGTTCTTTCATTAACTTGGCTATTGCTAGACGGTATCACTGCATGGAAATGGTGGAGTGGTGGCTTTTGAGGGAGGTGGTGGGGGTTGGACTGCTCTTGGAGAACACAATATTTTATCATACAGCCAAGTGGTTGGTAAACTGAAGTTTCAATCGGTTTGAAGATACACTTCATCATAAGGATGAATAGGAGCCAACGTTCCCAAGAGCGTTGTTGAATTGAGCGAATTGTCAAACTTCAAGTTCAACATACCAACTATTCCACGCAACTCCATAACCATAACCAATCCTATCCTATCCTGAACCTCAAAAATTTCATCGCACTATCTATCATCGCCCTTTCAAGCCGCGCCCCCAACTAATATCAACCCAGATTTCCCTACCCAGAGAAAGATGCTACTGCTCACTCAACTCTAAGCTCCACCTTGTACACCCTCATCCACGAGGCCACCACATCCACCACCTACCCTCTAGGCTACATCACCCTTCCCATCTACCGTGCTCTCCTCAAAGTCCCCACCAGCATCAAAGGAGAAATGAGCATCAACCAATCTCAACGTACCATATCCCTCTTCACGCAAGCCACCGAGCCCGAACGCAGTGCCGCCGTTGCAGCAACATGCGAGTATTGGCGCACTAACAAAACCTTCGAAGTTCTATCCGGCTGGCGTGATGAGCTATATCCCGTCTATGGTCCCGGAAATGAAGTACTCTGGTCCATTGAACGCAGCGCTTCGGTTTTGTTCGGTATTCTCGGTTATGGAATTCACATGATGGCATATGTACGCTGTCCCGAAGTGAGATATGGCTTGAAATTGTGGGTCCCGAGACGTTCGGCGACAAAACAGACATATCCATCTATGTTGGACAACACAGTCGCAGGAGGAATGTCTACGGGAGAAGATAAATTCGAGGCTTTGGTGAGAGAGTGTATGGAAGAAGCCAGTTTCCCAGAAGATGTTGTGAGGAAAAATGCAAAGGCTCATGGCGCTCTTACGTACTTCCATGTACGGGGAGCCACTGCTGGAGGAGAAACGGGTTTGATGCAGCCTGAATGCGAATACATTTACGATTTGGAGTTGCCTGCTGATGTCATTCCTAAGCCAAATGATAGCGAGGTAGAACAATTCTACCTTTGGACAGTAGAGGAAGTTCAGGAGCACATGAAAATGGGAGAGTTCAAATCCAATTGCGGAATTGTTCTATTGGACTTCTTCATCAGATACGGCATATTGACAAGGGAAAATGAGAGCGATTTTGATGAGATCAACAGCAGGATTCATAGAAATTTGCCATTTCTAGGACCACACAATATTTGAATATTTTAGTATTCCAGATTTGAAAAAGGTATCTGGTGCTTGAACGCCCTCAAGACTTTTTCAATTTCCCATCCACAACGCCCCACGCAAATGCAAAACCACATATGCATACGATAAACCGGGTTCTGTCACTATCGATTCTCGTTTGCCAGATTCCTCACAAGGATTTCACCACAACATAGATAGCGAGTCCTTTCCTCTCTTCGTTTTCCGTTTCCCAAGCAGTTTTTCAAAGCTATCTATTTCTTGATGAGGAGGTAGACATAGTCGACTCTTAGAGGTGTAAGCTTCTTATAAGGACCCTCCAAACCCATTAACAATCCACCGAAGGAGATGTATGCCTTACTATATCAGAAGTCAGTCAACCATTTCATACATAGATAGATACCATAGCCAAATAGCGAGCAAACAATCCACCCAATCCTTAATCTCAAGAAGAAGAAGAAGAAGAAGAAACCTACATAAGATCACTGTTCTCCTGATCCTCAAACTTATAAATCTTCCCATGACAAACATAATCAAACATATCCGCAAGCGTAGCCTCACCCCCCAATCCCATGCGATTAGCATCTCTCCATCCCTTTCCATCATCCTTTGTGCCATCCAAATTAAGAGATGTCGCAAGCACAACGCGAATGTTGTCACCGACGGCTAATGGGAATAGCTCGGTATTGATATCCAAAAGCATGGAGACCGAGTGATCGACCGTGGAGGTCGCCTTGATACGTCCTACTCGTACATATTTCTTATGGTCTAATTCGTTGACGGTGAAGTGCTCGTCGAAAAGTTGCGCGTCTTGAGGTCCAGACATTGTGGATTAGAAATTGGAAATTGTGGAAATTGTGATGGTAGTATTTGGACTTGAGGATCTTTAGGGTTTGGTATTGATCTTGGTGTGGAGTGATCAAGGTATCAAAGTAGAATTCTGTCGGACTTTTTGTTAAACAATTCGAGAGTGTGGTATAAATAGCGTTGCTGTAAGTAAATACTCAGTAAAGAAGCTTTGTCTTTCGCAAAATATTGCACTCTTCCAAAAACATCGAAAATCCAGACGGAGATCGGCCAAACGAATGTTCCGGCGCAAAAAAAAAATCATAGCAAGTGGCTCGCTCGCTTTTAGGTGGGATTTAAAATACCTACCCCGCGGCCATCGAAATCAATTCTCGTCATAATTAACACCACCAATTTTTTCCAAAATGGCTTTTCGAAAACGTAACGTAGCAATCGCGCAACCAGGAATCCAAACTTCGCAGACTCCTATTCCGGAAAAAGTAGCACCCATTCCTGGTATTCGTCCCTCACCTCTCGATGGTCGTCCAACGACATCGACGGGGATCCGTTCGCTCGATTCTATACTAGCTGGTCATGCGGGACTTGCACTCGGCACATCGTTACTACTTGAGGAGAGTGGAACTACAGATTTTGGGGGCACGTTGTTGAAATATTATGCTGCGGAGGGAGTGTTGCAAGGACATCATATTCATGTTTTGGGAATGCACCAAGGATGGGGAAGAGAATTGCCCGGGATGGGTGTCGCGGAGGGATCATCTTCGAAGAAAGATGCGGAGAGCAAGGCGGCAGATGATAAGATGAAGATTGCGTGGAGATATGAGAGATTGGGGGAATTTGGGGCGAGTGGTGCTAGAGGTGGGTGGCCCTTTGTACATATGTTTGACCGATTCGTAGAAGAATATAATATCGAATTACAAAAGCTAATGCTCTTATTTGTGTGTAGAGAGAAACACTGTGCAATCGAGTGCTGGCTCTTCAGGTCCGCCTTCAATATTCTGTCACGACTTCGATCTTAGTAAACGATTGATTCCATCTTCGTCTACTCAAATGCATTTCATTCCCACGATTCTCAGACCCGACTTCGAATTCGCAGGTACGACAAGCGAAACGAAATCTCCCTTCACACCATTCCTCCAACATCTCTCGACCCAACTCTCTCGAACCCCTCCTACCACTATCCACCGCATCATCATTCCCTCCCTCCTCTCACCAGCTCTATACCCCTCGCATGCCTCTCTCCCCCACCACATCATCCCCTTCCTCCACGCTCTCCGTGCTCTACTCCGCCAATACCCCACCCGACTAACCCTCATGCTCACTCTCCCTCTCCCCCTTCACCCCCGCACTACCGCCCTCACAAAATGGATCGAGCTCCTCAGCGACGGTGTCCTCGAAATCGCCCCATTCCCATCCATAGCCATCATCCCCAAAGCCACACCCTCCAGTTCCTCCAATCCCGCTCAAGAGGAGCCTCCACAAGGCATGCTCAAAATCCACCGCCTACCCATATTCCACGAAAAGGGCGGCGGGAGCGCTGGATTCGCTGGCGACGATTTGGCATTCTCGTTAAGTAGAAGAAAGGGACTAGTAATCAAACCCTACAGTTTACCACCTGTTGAAGACGAAGGGGAAGAACAAAAGGGCGGGATTGACATCGATGGAAAGGGAGGAAAAGCCACCAAAGTCGATATAGAATTTTAGATTATCATAATTCCCCCATCCAATAAATGTATGGATAAAAGTTGTATATAGCATAGCACCGGCGTTGAGACGGATAGGAAACTTTACTCGGAATCGGAATGTTCAATATGATCTCCTAACATATCTTGCATCTCGAATTGGTTCCAAGTACCGTGCCCATTGGATGTGATGGCTCCCATGTAGTTACTGTCATATATGGCTTCTCGGGGATTATATGACATTCCCGAAATATGACGACGAGCTCCCTCACCTAGACATGAGGTGAGTATCATCCATGCTGTAGCTTTATTAGTGCTTGAGTGGTGGGAATGGTTTGGGATAAAATCACATGCCAATGAAAAGCGTAATGCCAATTGACATCACTAGAATCAAGGGCCAAAGTGCAGGCATTGTGAATTATAAGATATCGATGCAGTTTCCGTTTCCGCGATCCGTAACTTGTAAATTGCAGGAGATGTTACTTCATGCTATTCTCAGAGCTGGAGGTAGAAGGCCATGCTGACTAATGAAATATGACATCTTCCGCAATGCGAAAGGACTTCAAACACACATGGAGATACAATTGCTACAAAATAGTCTTTTCCGGTTTTATAAAATCACGATGTCAATGATGTTACAACGAATGTTGCAATTGGCAAATGTTTTAAATTATAACTATCTGATATTGCACAAATCCTGCCGTTGAAGGAATTTCATCGTTCCATAGTGCTGATAACCAAAAAGGACCTACCTTGATCCAAACTTACCTATGAATATTATCCAAGCCAGAATACATTAACATGTCAAGCATTTAAAGTCAATGACTCAAATAAACCTAATAGCACCCATCAATTAGCATAGAACTAATACTGATGTTTAATGCTGAGTATGAATTTCCAAGATAGTTCAGAAAGCCGTTTAAATCAAGCACTTCAACCGGCGACAGAGATTTGAACTACAAGACGCAAGACGAATCTCTGAAGCTCTGAAACCCCAGCTCCACAACCTATCATCCCAAGCTTGAAGGCCCAGTCCGGTGCGGGAGTAGGGTTCGGTTGATGAGCATTCATGGAATGGATAAGCTGTTATCATCATAACGAGGAGGTGCTAAAGGTGATATAAAGTATACCGTACCTGTGAATATCGTTGATGCGCCTTAGATGCGTGAAACGTGAGAAGAATCTGTGACTGAATTGACAATTAGCTTTTGTAATGCTTAGATAGTTAAAAGCAAAATGAGGTAATGTCTTTTTGGATCAGAAAAGTTTTGGTATATTGGTTATCAACATGAAAGTTCAGAAGCAGAACTGATTAATTTTTTTTCATCATATAAAGACGGTGTGGAGCGCGAAATTGGAAGATAAATTAACTTACAAATGAGGAGACTCTTGCTTCAGGTGCAATAGATGGCGGGGCAGTGTTATCGGAATGTGTGCTGCTTGAAGCAATCATCATCTATAATCTGGAGACAATTGTTAGCAATTGCAAAAGATGGATATTTCTGATGGAAATACGAGCATTTAGATCGTGGCTCATATGGTGATGCATGTTTGTTCGTGGCTCAGGAGATCGCCGAGAACTAAAAGGTGTGTAGTTTGAATCCGGGCCAGGAAGATGTGAATGAAGAAAAGGATGTAAGAACTTACCAAGTTAATTGAAAATCGATAGTCCAGCTGCGACTGAAGATATTAGTGCATGAAGTTTTGAACTTCTTATCCGTTAATACCATTGTACCAGGCATTGCTGATACATTGCATTGCATTGCATTGCTTAAGAAGCAATTGATGAGGTTCGAGATGTTAAAGAAGGTAACTTGTAACCATCTCGATACCAAATCAGAAGAATATTTTTTATTGTATAAAAGAGAAAATCTGGTCGAGCTTCGCGAAAATTTAAGAAGCTTCAACCGCGCTAAAATCATTTGCAAGGATTATGTCGGTCCGTCTATTTTTCCGAACTTCCCGGCAAAAAATGTTGGTAGTTCCTACCGCATAGAGCTGTTTGCGATGGAAGTAAAAACTAAAAAGACGATACGACAGATAATAATCTAGGTTGACCAATTTCACCAATCTCACCAATTTTCATATCAATCATGTCTGATCGAAGGAGAATAAATGGCCCCTCTGGTGGAACAAACCCACCAGTCTTTTTAAAGTATCTTACCAAAGATTCAAAGAACCGTCCAGAACGACCTTCGAGGAACAGGCAACCCAATGTTCTAAGGAAAATTTGTATGTATATATCAATTTCAATACCAATGATTTTAAACTCATCTCCCACCAGTTTTGAAAACCGGTGTGACACCATCAGCCTCAGGATCCGCATATCTCGAACTTGAACCATCTCAACCCTCGAATCAATCAGCACCAGGCCTTGCTTCCCTCTCTACATCCGGTCTCAAACTTGCATGTACCGTCCATGGCCCTCGACCATTACCTAAATCCGCCGCATTTTCACCACATATGATCCTACAGACTCATGTTAAATATGCGCCATTTGCAGCTAGAAGAAGACGAGGATATGTTAGAGACACAAGTGAAAGGGATCTTGGAGTGCATTTGGAAACGGCACTGAGAGGTGTAATCATTGGTGATAGATGGCCTAAGAGTGGAGTGGAGATAAATATTACAATTCTTGAAGGCGAGGAGGATCATTGGTGGGGTGATGATAAATCTTTTGGTTCGTTGACTGCTGGTGGATGGGGTATGATGAGTGTACTCAGTGGTTGTATTACTGTCGCTTCTGCAGCTATTGCCGATGCTGGAATCGATTGCGTTGATGTTGTTTCTGGCGGAGTTGCCGCATTAGTACGTTCACCGGCCACTGCAGAGCAGGATGGCTCTACTGAATTGGTTCTGGATCCAGTACCATCTGAACATAAGGAGATTCTAGCTGCATGTATTGTGGCATATCTTCCAGCTCGAGATGAGATTACAGACCTTTGGGTGAAAGGAGATATTGGGCATTCAACTGAGTCTAATACTGATGATCCATCTTATGAAAAACTTACGGAGAATGCGGTGCAGGCAGCTTTGGGAGCACATAGGGTTCTCCTCGGGGCTCTGAAGGAAACTGCAGATATCAAATTCAGAAGATGAAACTGTACTTTCAATGCTTGCTCGTGTATTTGAGATTGGAGTTTTTGGGCGTTAGAAAAGAGAGTAATCATCAGCCAGCATTGGCTTAGGATGAACAAGGCGTTAAAGGAAATCAGGACTTTATTGCATGAAAGCGAGGAGTTTCTCGTGATCTTTCGAAAGTTATGCTTCGATATCTACGATGAATGATTACGGAATTGTCATTGTTTATTTTCAAACATGGATACACATTCTTCTTGGTACACCTTTTTTACATGATTGATTCTATATTGTATGTTCCAGCATTCATATTGTCTGTTATCCTATGAATGAGTAACAATTCAAAAATTCCAATTGAAACCCCTTCGCCATCTTTCACAATCAAAGAGTTCCACAAACAGTCCTTCCATCTTTACAGAGTTTCAGAAATCATTCATGGAGAATCTCTTTAATCTATCCCTCAAACAAACCCTAAGCTTTCACTTCACATGAAAAGCAGGCAGTATCATAAGCCAAGCTGCATACCAATACCCTCCCCAAAATAAAAACACCCCCAAACTCTATCGTTTCATTCATGTATCCACAGTTCGCTTTCATCATCTTGTGATATATAGAAGACCAAACTTCCCAAATCCCATGTCAACTTTATGAAGAGGTCGAAGAGATTATTGATTACTTTCTCAAACACCATACTTCAACATTTCAATACAAAACAATCTTGTAATCTCACTCTCAAATTACATCTCCAAAGTCGCTAAACTCCCCAGCCCCTCAGTGTCACTCGGAAAGGCGAATCAGCAATTCAATTACTTACCAACCATCAAATTCGGCAAGCCAAAGAGTCAAAAGGAAAAGGCGAATAGCAACAAATATGCCCTCGAAAATTCAACTTGATGAAAATCTGGTGTTTTTGTATATTTGTCTTCAGAAGTCAGATATGAAGACTGTGAGTACAATCTATAGACAGGATGTTTTGTTGGTGCTTTGATTATATATCGATATCTTTGTAAACTAGATATCTCAACACTCTATCCCATTTTATCTTTCCCATTCCCTTTCCCACCAAGTCAATCAATGCCCATGATTCTCCTTCCTCACTCTGACAACTTTCTCCCCATTCTATAGATTGATTTCGCAGCCGTAGGCCAAACGACTAATCTCAAATCTCCCGCCGCACGTATGCGTTACACGAGACTCAAACGCCAGATTGAAAAGGGGGTTATTGGAGCGAATGCGAATATTAATCTTGGGGGTGGGAGTGATGAGAGAGGAGGGAATGGAGAGGAGAAAGAAAGGAGAAAGGCGAAAAGAGAGAAGAAGATGAGAGAGAAGAAAGAAAAAGAGGAGAGAAAGGAGAGAGAGGGTGTGGAAAAGAAGGAGAAAGTGGAAGCTAAAGAGTGGAATGGGGTGGAAGGCAGAATGGGGATGGGGATCGAAATGAAATTGCATGGTGGAGTGGAGAAAAAAGAAGGAAAGAGAAAGAGGGAAATTGAAGATAACACTGAATCGGACGCAGACGCGATCTCGGAACCAGATTTCCAGCTCCATGGATGGAACGATTCTACACTCAACAATGCAACATCTCCATTCCCTCCAAATCCTCCCCCCTCCACCCAACTTTCCACGCACCCCCAAACCGAGCATCTTTCTCACCCATACATCCACAATTATCCCGCGGCTTCAGCTCCCCAAACTAACATCTCGCAAAGCGATCTTTTAGAATCACAACCCATCTCTCAAACTCTCCTCGACCAACTCCCTCTCCAAACATCCTCTGCTCACCCCCTCGACCCCCAAATAAAACTCGAACCCTACTCCCCCTTCTCCTCATTCTCCTCCTATTCCACCGAGCGTAGCCTCTCGAATTTCCACGAGCACACCACCACCGCCGACGAAGAAGACGCCGATTCCGAAGACGAGATGCCGCTAGCCAAACGTCGAGGCATGGGAAAACGACACACTCCTCCATCTCAATCTCAATCTCCAAATGGAGATGGAAATACAAATCCAAGTAGAGAAATAACATCACATAGACATGCGTCGAAAACCGCAGGGGGATACAGAGATGCACATTCTCATTCTCATTCATGTTCTGAGATGCGGGATCCATGTCGTAGTGGACGTGCAGAAGAATACACATATACACGTCCTCCTCTGCGCGATTCCCTACACGAATCTGGTACTTCTTCTCAATACGCATACGCATACGCATACCCAAATCCCTACACCGCACCCTACAAATCCATCTACGCCCCTCCAGCTTCCCCCCACGGAAAATCCAAGTCCTCAAACACCACCCCCTCTCCCTCATCTCCCTCTCCTCCATCAAAATTCACACCTCCCCATCTACCTCCCCATCCCCAACCCTACAACTGGGCCGATACATACCAATCCTACCGGCATCTGTGGGGCACCGAACGCATCGCACGAGTCTCGCCTCCACTGCCGTCTCCGTCTGTATCGAGTTGTTCATCTTTACCTTTATACCATACTCATAATCATGATTACAACCATAACAATATCGCTAACACGACTTTCGACTCTGATTTTCCTCCACCTCACCCTATCCAGTCACCTCGTCCCAATACTCACTTATCATTGTCGCAGTGGTGATTGCTTGCTTGCTTGTTTGCTTGTTTGTTTCGAGTTTCATTCTCCCGGTTTAGCTGGGGTGTAGATGGGAATAGGAATAGAATAGAACGAACAAATCAGATTAGATTAAATTGATTCAATTCCACCATCTTATCCCTTTTCAAGATATAGAAACCGATATTTCTGCTATTAATTTTTCCTCTTCAATTGCTTTCCTTTAGATGACATACCAGATACACATAAGAAATCAATACTGTGAAAGCAATTGCGTCACATCCTCGTCTGCTCCCTTAAGATGATATCACTAGCACCCAAAAATCGTGCATGAGAAAATGAATATATATCAGCTGAATTAATCCATCGGCATACTTCGATGATGCCACTCATCTCATACTCTATGTGCAGTACAGATATACCATCCATCTATTCGCAATCACCACATCAAGATTGCAATGGCAATTCCATGCGTATCCTAAAGAATATGTATGTACAAAAGTCCTTCTCTGTAATAGACCGAATATCCACAAGTTGCGCCATATGTCAAGCCAAGCTTGCAGTCATTTATACTTAATCAGCACCATCCATCATTTTCAACGCCATTTTTTCAACTCCTGTTCCATTCCAAGTAAAAGCGCCATGCTAAAAGAAGAATATAGGATAAAATAAGGATAAAGAGAGAAGCTTCCCAGTTTCGAATTAGAACTTGTTTCCTCTTTCACTGGTCTGTCGATTCATCCATTCTCGAATTCTCGTGTCATGACTCTTCAAGCGGTGTCATCAGCGGGCTTTTCCTCGTCGGACTGCCCGTTCTACTTCTTCTTCCTGCACCCAAAGAATGCAAAGTAGGAGCCAATCTTTCTCGACTTTCCGTTCTGACTACCAGACCACTTCTACTCCATGCATTTGGAATGCCGCTTCCCAGACCAAGGCCAATACCTTGGCCATGCTGTGAATTATTATCGAAATAATTGGCCGCCTCAAAATTAACCACATTCAATTTCGGCGTTGCTAACCCAGAAGATCTTCCTACTCGAGATCCTTCACTTCCATCCGAATTGTCGTTTTCTTCGGATGAATCAATGTCACCCAATTCGAACTCAGCAGCGGAATCACCATTTTCCAATACGCGTTCGTAACTAGTGGAGCCTCGAGATCCGAATAACTTTCCTGTGCCGAAGAAACCACGAGAACCTTTCTTTGGGCTACCTGGTCGACGATTCCGACGTAAAATTGTATTGAAACCCCTATATAACCGGAGTCTTCTATCTCTCTTGCGGAATAGATAGGCGAAGAGTACCAAAATAAAGAAAAACAAGAGAAGCCCGGGAGTGGATCGAGAATGTGCCTTCTCAATGAGATCATCAGCTGCATCGGACCAGTCATCGTCGTCTTGAGGTACGGGATTTGCATTAGAACCAGCCAATTGAAAGTCTGTGGGACCCCCAAAGTATTGCTACCAAAGCCGACTGGTAAAGCATCCTCACTTGCTGGAGGAACTTGACCAGATGCATACAATATCATCTTTCCCAATGTCCAACTGACTTCTACTCCATCAATCTTGTCGACTGCTTGAAATGGATCCAAGAAACCTTTGCCTTTCGAGTGAAGCATCATTTCCTTCGTCGCATTATAATTTGGTCCTGGCTTCTCCAATCCGACTCTCGGTACTCCAATTCCATCGTGAAGAACATTAATTAGCCATGAAGCTTTGAAGCAAACTTCTTGCGCTGTCTTGGCATCTACCTTCTTTCCCCATTTCTTCTTCTTAACCTCTTTCTCAATGTCGTCCCATTCCTCACTACAGAAATCTTTTACCAGAGCTTGATATTTCGTGAAATCATAGGCTCTATCTTTGTGTGACATTTCAAAAACCTCATGAGTTGTATGCCAGTACTCAGAAACTCCAACGAAATGGTTAACATCAAAATCGATAGCAGGAACATGTTGCCCGTGAAGCAAGCAAGGTTGGTCGGCACAAGGGGCATCTTTATCCAATAAGGGATATGTCGCTGCTAAGCATTGATCGAAACGACCAGTACCTAATAAGATTGGGTCTTTTCCTGTCAGTTTCAAGTCGCCAACAACATCTCCATCTAATGTTGTTTTGAGGCCAGCTGGAAGACATGGGTCGAGCAATTCTTTGGTATCCTTGGTGTAAGAAGCATCCATTAGACTTTCGACGTAGCGATGTCTAGCTTGGTTGACACCAAATCCTAACCATGTCGTAGTGAAAACTTTATATTCCGCGGGTTGTCCATTCATAGTCCGCATTCGCAATAACTTGAGGTCATTTGCATGTTTTTCAGCTTCGGTAGTATTGGGCGCAAATGCAATTTGCGCTGACGCTCCACCCATGTCTAAGAATCCATACGTATGGTGTCCCTTGCCATGGGCATGTTCTTCTGGTGTATCGAAACCTCCGAGTAGATAATTTGCAGCGATCCATCCATATAGTCCTTCTGTTTCACCGGGGATAACTTGGATATGTAAACCACAATCTGGTAAGTCGAACTTTGTATGCTTTTGAGCATAGGCGCAAATCTCGGATAGAAGTACATTTTGTTGAACTTGAGGTAGCAATCGCATACCAGCTGTTGCCATCAAGAATATTGGTGTATCGGACACTTGATCTTTCGGGACGATATCGAGAGCGTGGTCGAGGAGCTGTTGTAAATGTTCTGGGCCAACATCTTGAGGCGTTTCGCCGAACGTCGATACGCCTGGCTTAATCTTTTTCGTCCATTTCTTGTTGGTTTCTAGCTTGGGTAGACTTTGTAGGGTGAGGGCGTCGGGATCCTGTAATGCTTTGGCACTGTTCAGCCATCTGTAGATGTGAACTCGAGTTCCTGACGAACCCGCGTCCAGGATGACACCATATCGCCCTATTTATTGACAATTGTTGGTTAGTAAAGGTTGATTGTGGTGTAAGTACAGCTGACGGATTTATTGAAGGGTTAATTTACATTTACCCATGAGGAGAATGGGAATCGATTGAAATCGGTGAAAAGGTATCGAGGTAACGAGAGGTGTTGAGAGACGAAGTGAGTTGGGTGGATTGATGGGAAGGGTGGTTGGTATGCTTGATAGGGTGATCTCTTCAATCCCTTATCTTTTCGATATTTTGCGAGGATTAAGATTACGAGTGTATATGTATGTATGTGTGAGGTGAGATGTGAGGTAAATCGGATTGTAGTAGGAATCGCCTCCAGCCGATGAAGCTTTCCAAGGATCCCTCAATCCCTTATCTCTTCGGAAGTGACGCGAGTGTCGAGACTATGAATTTGAATGCATTCGGTCGAAAGTTTCCAACGGAAAGAGCGAAAGGGGTGTACTGTATGTTATGTGCGGAGAGGACACTGAAAACGAATGGAATGATCTCCAGTTAATGAAACTATTGAGATCAAAGTAAGGTAGGTACTTGTTGCATGAAAATAGGTGGGAGTGTTGATGTTGTTTTGTTTTATTTTGTTTGTTAATTGATTAATTAAAGAGAGTATTTAATACTTGCTTCTTTGTATTGCGATAGCGATGATATACCAGGGCTGGGTAGGTACTAGGTATGCATGAACGAGTGTGAATGAATTGGTGAATTGCTGCAGATTAGGTAATCTTGCCAGGTAGGTACGGATGGATTTATCGCAGGACCAAGACATTACCAAGAACCGCCTAATTTGGTATAAAAGCTTGGGAAGATTACAGGATATGATTGGATGAGAGCGAAAGCTAGATAGCATAATGGTTGCCTTAATGCATGTCCAGACAGATCTAAGGCCACAAGATCTATATTTAAAACATTCATCATTAACCTTATTAGTAATAACCTTTTCCGTCCAGTCCACTTGCATGGTGCACCACCATTATTCCACACACCAACCAATCACTCCCCACTCTATTCAATGCCCCCAAGCTCACCAAGCCCACCAAATCCACCAAATCCACCAAATCCACCAAACAAACTTCTTTTCCTTTTTCTGAGAAGGAAAACCCCTCCTCGAGAAGTTGGGGATAACAATACCAGTCTGTGGAGTCTCTCTTCCTTTGATTCGAGCACATTGCTTACCATGCCCTCTCTGCACATATACGAACGACCCCAACTGCAAACTTTGGATGCTGGTTACAACTTGCTACATATCAATACGAAAGGCCACGTAATTTCGGGCTTCTCTAGGATCTACTGAAACTCCAACCAACGACGGTTACAACCACTAGTCATTAGTTGCTCATTCATGATTCCCTAGTCTTTCTATGATCCACACACGTTCACACCCTCGCCACAGATATATCAACCTTCCTATATGGGGTCCAGATAGCATGCAACTTTATCCAGCAATCATGTGTGGCTCTAGAGTGGCTATCTTATTAGTCAAGAACTTTACTCGTTGACGTCTCATTCACATGGTCCTCCTCTTGAATCTCATACTTTTGGCACACAAACATACATAAGCATGTAGTGTTTATACGTCTCTTTTCCGAAAACTGAGATAGTTCTCAAACATCAGTTGGAAAAGACACCATGCCGCGTAATACATGGACGTGCGCCGTCTGTTCTCGTTACTTTGGATGAATGTCAAACGGCACCAACCACATATACTTTGAGAATTTTAGCTCTTCATAGGGGATTGAATGGAAGCATGAGGTGCAGAACATGAAGACATTTACACTGTTCTAGAATGGCTAAAGAGGAAAGAATCTATGGAGTGAAATTTCTACTAGTATTGATTGGGACTAGCTCCCTTGACGTTCTGTTACTACATGATCATGAATAACTTCAACATATACTCTATAAATGTGATAACTGTTCTCGAACTTCCCAAACATGTATCTTTGCGTTTGGCACTCTCATAAATGTCGTTATATCCAAATTCTATTTCAATCTTTACCCAAAACTGGTGAAGCTTTTACCAAACAATTGAGTTGGTGGACTGTAGACAGTCTCAATTGTCACAATTGAACATCCCCGTGTCAATAATTTTGTTCTTTGAGAGAGTATAAAAGCGTATTCTCCTAGAATTTTCATTACTGGTGACACTCTTTTCCTATCTATTAAAATATGACAGATGCCTAATGTTGGTAAAATGTTAGTGTCTCTACTCCAACATTCTTGTATTGATTGTTAGTTGATCGGTCAGCCGGGTCATTCATAGATCTCTTTTCATCATTTTTCTCCATAAATTTCAAATCACCGATCTTGTGGCCCATGAAACTGTGCTGCCTAGCATATTTATAGATGACTTAAGCGACGGTACACGACGGGAAGGTCTCAGCCTATGGATTGGTATCCAGAGGCTCCATTTCTTATTCTTTGTACGTCTTCGAAATGTTCATTTTTGAATAACCTGTAGGCTTCAACAATTGAACACTGGGTAGCGTACAAACTGGTTTGTGGACTGAACGAGTTGGCCAAGAATTCTACACTATAAAACTACTTTGATTGTCCAAATAGTATTCGTTTAAATCATCAATACTATTTTACAATTACCTTCTTACATTGAAAGTCAAGTCCAAAAGTTAGATAAACCTTTCAGCATTCAGCATTCAGCATTCACAGGCGCAGTGTACAAACACAGACAGCTATCGAGCTTTCAATAAACATTTCAATTCAAAATGCCTTCTGAAAAAGATATTGAAAGATGGAATGCTCAGACTAGAGCAGAGACACGTTTGGTAGAAGGAAGCCATCATTCTGGTCAAAAAGTGCGATCAAAGACATCGTCTAAACCACCAAGCACGCATGCACCGGTAGTAACGAGGAAGGATGAAAGACTTAGAGGGACAAGTGTCTGGGAAGAGAGTGATGAAATTGACGGAGATGAAAGATCTATAACAAATAAGCAGAGGAGCAGAGATGAAGATAAAAGACTATCGAGTCAGCGTAAACGAGATGATGAAAAATCTCACTATACGGAATCGTCAAGAGATGACAGAAGATCTCGCCGTATGAAACCAAGAAAAGATGATGAAAAATCTCACTACACAGAATCAACAAGAGATGATAGTAGACCTCGCTATAAAAAATCAACAAAAGACGATGAAAAGTCTTACTATACAGAATCAACAAGAGATGATAGTAGATCTCGCTATGCGGACTCGGTAAGCGATAGCGAAAGCTCTTCAGAATCCACACGAACTATTAAACAGTCTTCAACACGGGTAAGAAGAAGTACAAAACCTTCGGGATCGACAGTAGATGGTTCTAAAAGCCAAAGGGGAGACGAAAGAGATGGTAGGAGAGATGGTGGAAGAGATGGTGGAAGAGATGGTGAAAGAGATAATAGAAGGAATGAAAGGAAAAGTGAGAAGAGAAGTGAAAGAGATAGTAGAAGAGATGATGGAAGAGATGATGAAAGGGATAGTAAAAGGGATAAGAGGAGAAGTGAGAAGAGAAGTGAAAGAGATGGTGAAAGAGATGATGGAAGAGATGATGAAAGGGATAGTAAAAGGGATAAGAGGAGAAGTGAGAAGAGAAGTGAAAGAGATGGTGAAAGAGATGATGGAAGAGATGATGAAAGGGATAGTAAAAGGGATAAGAGGAGAAGTGAGAAGAGAAGTGAAAGAGATGGTGAAAGAGATGGTAAAGAGATGGTGAAAGAGATGGTGGAAGAGATGGTGGAAGAGATGGTGGAAGAGATGATGGAAGAGATGATGAAAGGGATAGTAAAAGGGATAAGAGGAGAAGTGAGAAGAGAGGTGAAAGAGATGATGGAAGAGATGATGGAAGAGAGGAGAGGAGAAGTGAGAGGAGAAGTGAGAAGAGAGGTGAAAGAGATGATGGAAGAGATGATGGAAGAGAGGAGAGGAGAAGTGAGAGGAGAAGTGAGAAGAGAGGTGAAAGAGATGATGGAAGAGATGATGGAAGAGAGGAGAGGAGAAGTGAGAGGAGAAGTGAGAAGAGAGGTGAAAGAGATGATGGAAGAGATGATGGAAGAGATGATGAAAGAGATGGTGGAAGAGATGGTGGAAGAGATGGTGGGAGAGATAAGAAGAGAAGTGAGAGGGGAAATGCAGATGAACATCAAGCTTATCCATCTGAAGACATTCCGGAAGAGTCCGAGTATTCTGAGGAATTGTCTCTCCAAGAAGCTGATGCGGTTGAACCTCGGAGAGTCCAAAGATCAACCACGAACATGGGGGACAAGGCAATGGCGAAATCTACCAACCCTAGAGAAAAGAAGGTGCTTGGCTCAGAAGAAGCAGTAAGAGGGCTAAAATACACAAACTCAAAAGGATGGGCAAGGAAACCAAGACCACAAGACGCTAGGCATTCGTTTGACCCAAGGTGCCAGTAGATCAGAAAAAGAGAGCTGAGTCTTGGGGCGTATCTAAATGATGAATTCCTCTTACGAGTTGTGAAAGCTGGAAGTTGGGACTGTTGAAGGGAGTTATCTTGGGATTTTTGCTGCACGTTTTGCTTGGATTTGCTTGATTTGATTTGAGGCTGAATATCTTGTTAGCGTTTTTGAGACTTTGTTTCAGTTATTGAGATAGTATACAACATATTTTCTCTATGCCTCACTATGATAAAACGTATTATATTCTTTATTACATATTTCAATATATAATATTGAATATCATATCACTAGAATTATTGAGATTATTACTTAACATTACAAACTACTAGTGAGATATGAAAATACAGAATTCAATAAAATAGCTTCAATATTACTTATTCAAAAAGGAATTTATCGAATACTTCCGAATTCCTATAGAAATACTCTGTAATAGCAAAGTTAATATTCCGAACAAAGAGAAATTCAATATAAACCTCTATATAAATTTCTATTTTATACATTACAATATTGATATATATATTTGTCAATAATGAATAAAGCTTTTCATTATTAATAAATCAAATTGGTTTTTTTTGCAACCCGTTTATTATTAAATTTTAATAAAAAAAATGAAAATATAGTTATAAAATTGATTGTTTTTGAATCTAATTATAAACAAATATAAAAGTAATATTATTGTAATAT